TTTAAAAATTAGTAACATTAGTAGCGGCGAAATAGTGGCAAGTCATGAGATCTCTTTACTTAACGATGCAATTTTTGGACAGGGAAGTAAGATTTCGTTTTTAGAGAAGACTTTTTGCTTTTTCTCTTTCTTTTGTTTTTCTTACCAATTTTTGGTTATATTTGCGTCTTTTTCTCTCAGTTTCTATGTATGGAGTTTCTCGGGTTTCAATTTCTGACGTATTATCATGACGTAGAAGAATTGCAGGCCATTTCCTCTTTTAAGAAGTTGCGAGTTCGAATTACAAAGGCATCATTCGTATGACTGGTCAACTGTCACTTCTCAAGAAACTTGCCATAGTGTAATTTTCGCGGTCTGGAAATGGTAAAAACCTTGTTTGCTCCAATGTTGGAACGTTCAAGGTGTTCCTTTAGTATAATTGAGAATGAAGTTTATCTGTTTTCATTTTTTCAAGCTATTGACTGGTCAGGCTTTCATAAAAATTATATTTGTGCTACTTTGAAATCAAATATGTATCACTTGATTTCATTGCAATTCGTTCTTTTAACAACTTGAGTGAGTGAAAACTAAATAAAGTATGCAGTACTGTTCTTTTATCGCAAAAAATAGCGTAGAATTCGGACATTAATCAAATCAATTCATATACTGACATGTCAGTGGGCCAGGATATTCTTCGGGGAGGGTGGAGGAAGACAAAGTTTTATGAAAGGGGGGGGGGCATGGTGTTAGTAATCCCGATTTTTCTGGAATAATTCTTAGAATTTAGAGCTTATAACTTAAAACGCTTCAGAAAGAATGCTATCGGCAGCTACCTTTAAAAAATTTCTAAAGCTATTTTGTTTTCTTCTAGCTTTTGAAAAATAGTTGTCAGTCATCTACGAGTAAAAAAAAAAGCGTTTTTCACAGATGCGATTTGGTAAGCGTCGGACTTTTTATGTTATGAGTGGGGTAAGCGAAATTTTCAACTTTTGCCCTTCCCAGCCGGGTCCTCTTCTCCGATGCAACTTCCATCTTGTCATCTTGTCTGCGATGTCAGTTACAGGATGTACTTCTTTCACTGTCTTTTTCCATTGTCAGCTCACTACTCAATCATCATGGAGTGGACTTCTGTCATAAATTTTCGCTTGCATTAATACTAACGATAAGTAATAATTCACTTTATATGTCCTATAAACAATCATACGTACTTTTTGCCACTATCAAAGACAAATGGCTATTTCTAGGTTCTTCATGGGAGGAAGAAACGTGAGAGAAGTAAGTGGACATGCAGTGCAAATGTATAAGTTACCCTAAAGCAGATTTCAGTATTCCAAAAATTTTTGGGTAATTTCATACCAGTTTAAGTGAATTTTTACTAAAAAAGTCGCCCTTTTAGGGCTTTTCTGGAAGAGCTCACAACATGAAAAAGGGAATTTTCTCCCAGAAACGAATAGCAAACCATTGCATAGTTTTAAAATTTTCTTGTCGTGGAATTCCTCGAATTCCGCAATTTGCGCTGGTGCTACTTTTGCTAGTTTAAGTCAACAGTTAGTGAAATTAATTACTACCACCCCTCCCCCTCTCCACCCTTCCTCTCTCATCGAATTTTACAGGCTCTCACTAATCAATACAGATAGATATTCTGACCGTAGCGTGGAGTCAAATAAAATGCATGTGTGATTACACATCGACACACATTTGCGCGGGAAATTGCGGAGTTCACCATTCTACACTGTTGCAAACGAAAATTGCTACGGGAAATTGTCATTGATTCTCCAGAATCCACAAATTATGAAAGACGAAAAGAAAACTTCGGTCTACAGAGGTCCTGGGAGATGACTCACTGGGTGTGTGGTTGTGCAATTACAGAAATGAACATGCACTGCCTACCCAATCAATTTCCGAGCTTGCAGGAAAGCGTCCATTTCTGAAGTTCAAAAATCCGGAAAAACCATGTTTTTGCCAAGTCATTCGCAAGAGTCTTCGTAAGACAACAGTGACCTTTGGCCGAGATCCAGGCGGCGAAATAAAAAACCGCATCGTCTCGAGGATGCGCGCGCAGCGTTAATTTTACACACCCAACACCTCGTTGCACCTGTCGTCGCGTCGCCGATCGCCGACGCTCGCGACGAGGTTGCGCGTTTCATCGTCCAAATGCGGGCAGTTGTACGGGGGCCGGGGCGCGACGCCGCTTCTGTCTCTCCCCCCCCCCCCGTCCGTATGTACGTGGTGTGTGTGTGTGCGTCTCTGCACCTCGCGTCGGTCGACGGAGGGGGGGGGGGGGGGTTCGCCGGCGGAAAATCGCCGCCGCCACCGCCGCCGCTACCACGGCCGAGGCGAAAGCCATAGGCGCCTCCGTCAGCACATTGATCCTTGATGGTTCCGCTTTTGCCCTTATGGCGCGCTTTCCGGCTAAGTGGGTTTTCTTCCCGACGTGCGTGTGTTGTCCTTATTAACACCTAATTTTCAGCTTTTTCTTTGGGGATGAAAATCACCTGGGTAGGCGGAGAAAAACGGTAAGGGGAGTAAATTTTATTGAGGTATACTCTTGGAACAACATTCATTTACACTGCTTCATTTTTGCCCCTTAATCTAGCGGCAAAATCTCTACTTGTCTCACATTTCTCCCCGTTTTTTTGTTCATGTAATGACACAAGTGCTGTGTGTGCTGTGTAATGTTCGATATAAATCCTTCTTCACTCTTCTTACTTTACCATCTTCCCACTCAATTTTCCATCAAACCAAGCCGGTCCACATTTCTCCTCTCCATCACCTTAAATTGCCCAAATTATACCTCACATACTTGGCAGAACCCTAGAATTTTCTTCCGTCGCAATTATCGAACCGCACTGCCATATAATTCGCAAAATTATGACAGCTGTATGAACTGGACGTGTTTTTTTGCCTTTTCCTTCATTGGAAGTAATCGATCATCCAGCTGATGCTATATGCATGCAATTTTTATTGCGATAGTCATAGCGCTCTGTGTAGTGCCCTTATAACCACCATTTTATGCACTAATGTAAGGATATAAATAGTGTTCGGGTGAATTATGCTTGGCTAGTATTCTGCTCTGAGCTCCCGTTTGACAGGCATTTTTTCTCCTTCAATCGTGCATTTTCAATCATTTCTGTTTCGTATCATATCGAACATAATTTATGCGCCGAAGACGCTTGACTTTGCAAGTTATACTTTTGCTTCATATCGCTTTCGTACCATACTTCTAAAAAATTTAACTGCAAATTTTCGAAAAGTTCAAATTGTTTGTGAGCAACCATCACCTTTACTTTTTTCAGTTTTTGAGAAAGTCTAAGTTTCGATCTTTTACTGATTGTTTTGTTTTTGAATCAAAAATGTGCAAGAATGTGAAGGGAGGGGGGGGGGGGTAATAGAGAGAGACACCAAAATCCTAAGCCTTCATAATTTTATTTTGATCCTCTTTTTGTTCTTTCGTTAGCCACCACTGACCAATTTTTTAGTTTCATTAATTCTATTGTTCAGTGGATTTGAGGTGGATGGGTGGGTGAAGCGGGGTGGGGAGAAAAGAAGGGGAAGTTCGTGCTTTGAGTAAAATTTTCTATACTTGATTACATCATTCTGTCACCACGGAAGTCAGTTGCGAATCGTTTAAAACCTGTCAAACTGTACGTGATTAGTCATACTCCCGCCATCGATCGATATATTGATTGATGCAATACCGTACTTTGCATATGGCATTTACATAGCAAAGCGAGTTTGATTGATTGGATATAAATCAAAACTATGTGGAAGACAGCTGTTCATGCGAAGCTATGATATTGTTAGACAACCACAATATGGACAATTAACTCGATCAATTTTTTATCACAATATTTTTCAAAAAATAGTATTGAATTATAATCTTTATAGTGTGTGCTTCTGTTAATGCTTTTAAAGTTGATTTTGATGTGGATTTCAGTTTTTTTAAATTAGCTTCCTGTTTTTTCTTACATGTCTGTTTCCTTTTTTTACTTCTTCTCTTCTCAAGGTCTGCTCATAATGTAGCGTTTTATAAGCGTTATACTTCTATTGCACTCATGCGGAAGATGGTAAAACCAGTCTGCATTGCTCAGCGCATATTTTCTTCCGCTGAATTACTTGACGTCGAACACTTCTGCTCTCAAAATTGCAACCAAAAAAGTGTCATCCACTTAATGCGTGAAACCTGCTGCACACTTTTGTTTTGATTCTGGTGCCATATGTTTCATTTCTTTGTAACTTCAATGATTGATTGTTTCAGATCGAACCAGCTGTACGAATTTTATACTTGTTCTATAACTCGTGTATTTGTGCTTCAACTACCTCGCAGCAAAAAAATCGCTAATTTCTTGATTTTTTGAAAATCTCGGATAATTACACAGTCGTTATCAAATGCATTATAATTTATTACCGCTTGTCGCCATTCGCCTGACCATTTCTGATATTCTGATTAAAATTTGAATCTTGTTCGGGGGCCACTCTTTTTCATTTGTTTTTGTTTTGTTTCTTTTTGAGAACGAAGAGAAAATGGAGTTGGCAAACTGATAGATTAAACAAACACAAAATATTCTGGATATAGTCCAAATATTCTGTAGAGGCCTAAATAATTTTTCCTTCTCTAGGAGCGTAGACTATGAAACGGACCATCATAATAGGCGGCTCATCGCACGCAAATACCGGGCGTCACTACGGACGCTTCGGCGTTTCGCTGTTGGAGCGCTCCCTCTTACGTCTGCTGTCTCTCCCAGACCTATACTCTCTTAGGCGGACGCAACGACGTCCGGTCTGTGCATGCCATGAATCGCCTAAACTCTTCCAAAATATAACTAGTAGTCCTTTTCGAACTCATACCATATCCTGCTACTTCTGTGAATTTCGCCTCGTTATGTTACTGGAGATTACTGTAGCGGGGCGCAATATGTTTCTCTTGTTCCTCATTGTCCTGACATGATTCCAGTTTTTTTTTCGAAATAAATTTCACTGCATTTAGCGATGCTGTCAAGGAAAAATTTTTCCATATTGGTATTTCAGGACATGGGTGATCTCGAGCGAGTGCGGGCCGAGGTGGCTCGGCTTGAGGCCGCTCTCCAGGAAGCAATTGCCGATAAACACAAGGTGAGTGAAAGCAATATATCGTGCTGATGTTTGCGCGAAACGAGCACCTTTGGCCTTTCATCAGGCATCTAAATACTTGAGGTTGTTTTTTATCAGAAAAACAAGCTTTTAGGCCGCCGAAGTGGGACTGAGTATTCTGCAAGAAAAAGAGGCGTTAGAGTTGAAACTCGCTCAACTTCAAACGCAATACGATGCCGCTAAAATTGAAGTCGATCAAGCGAATCAGGTAGAGTCACATCTTAAAAGCTTTTCTTACAGAGAAGTGTGCAGTCCGAAGAAATTCTTCATTACGCAAATAGTACAGTTTTCATGAAAAGCGAAGCACACATCTGGTGTGAATAGTCCCTCAATTGCTTTCGTTCAGTCCTGATGTCATTCAAAAAATGCCAACGATAGAATATCAATAAGAACCGTATGAGCAATAAGTTTAGTCATCAAATCCGCAGATGAGCTATTAGCGGAGTTTACACTCGGATAATTTGGCCGGGCCGGTGCATATATCTCCAAACTTTTAGTTACTTGGTAAATACTATGCTGTTTGGTTACTTCCTATTAATAAATATCTAATTTTCTTCCACTCTGCTTGTATTCTATCGTCTATGTTGCACATACGCATACGCAAACGTATTTATAGGGTATTCCAAAAATCATGACGATGGCGCGACGCACGCACTTCCAGCAATCGCATTTTCTGGGTTCTCATCTCTGCTCGAATGTTTTTCTGCTTACATATGATAATATTTACTGGAAGTGACTAAGCTGAACTTCAAGGTGATACCTTTTAGTATGGACATTTTATGCTCCTGTGTGCGCAAAGACCGCAGTCAAACCCGTCGTCACGATTTTAAGAATGATTTACACAGTCCTCTTTTCCAACAGCCAGTTTGTGTAAATGCACATCTTTTGCAGTCTTTAGTCAGCCCAATGACGGAACACTATACCGAGAAAAATCACTAAATCATGAGTAAGAAAAGTGAAGATGAAAATGAATGAAATAGAAGCAGGGGTCCTTCTACGTCCTGATACTGCAGTTCACAATGAGAATCCAAAAGATTTGTGCAATCACACAAATCAGCTGTTAAATGGGGACCACTGTGTTTACCTCCACTTTCGATATCGCTTCTAGAAAAGTCAGAGGTGTTTTGTAAGGCCTCGGGCAGAGTTCACGCGATTTGATCGTCGCGATTGATCGCGACAAGACAACTGCAACAATATCATTGCATACGGATCTTCTTGCATTCCGGTCGTGATAGTTTTCCAACACGACTAATCATGACTGACTATCACAACCGAAATACAGGAAGATCGGCATGCAATTCGTAACACTTGCCTTGTAGCGATTAAATCGCAACGATCAAATCGCGTGAACTTTGTCCGAGGCCTAAGGCGTTCACCATGATGTTTTGCGGCAGTGCCGCGAAACTTCGTTTCTCATCTGGTGCAATTGCACACACCTCAACTCTCCAGTGCATGCTCCACATGCGACAATGTGCGCACGTGTTATGATCGTAACACGAAATTAAGCGTAATCTCAAAATGATAAGAAAAAACAGGTGGAAGTCAATGATTCTAGCTTATTTTTGTTCTTCATTTCCAAACTACAACACTATACATGCAGCCACAGCGATTCCCACGAACTCTGACTTCGTGTATCCACACTTGTAGGATTCCCACATCATATTTCTTCACACTGCTCGCTCATTTTCTCATGATAGAGAAAGTGCAGTAGTGTGGTGCACATTACATCGGGTACGATGCTTACCATAGAAATCTTTGGATGGCCTACGGCGCAGTGCCGTAGAATGTTTATAATGATTCAGCAAAGAATTGTTGCGCCGCAATTAAACGCGTAGATATCAAGAGCTGAGTCAGTCTAGCTCTCACTCCAGCGAATACTTCTTCTACTAAAATAACCATGAAATATGCAATTCTTCAACATCGTGCTTCCGTGTTGCTTCTCTAGTCATCGGGTTGGGGAACGAAGGCCACTAGTTTGGGCCGCCTCCGCGGACTACTGGTCCTGCGATATGCAACGACATTGCGGAAGGACCAGTTGGCCGCGAAAAGCGGTTCAAACTGGCGGCCTTCGTTCCCCTACCCTTAGTCATCTATAGGTCATCTATAAAATCGTGACGACGGATTTGACTGCGGTCCTAGCGGCTGTGGGAGCTTAAAACACTCATACAAGAAGAGATCACAACGCTCAGCTCAGTCACTTCCAGTATTTAGATACTATCATACGTAAGCAGAAAAACCATCCAGATAGAGATGAAAGCCAAGAAACTGCGCTTGCCACAAGTGCGTGCGTGTCGCGCGCGGTCGCGCTATCGTCACGATTCCAATGCTCTATAGACACCTACAGGGCTTTACAACCTGAGTGTCACAGCCGCCCCGCTCGGCCGCCACGCTTAGGTCCGCGCAGCGTTCGTGGCGCATCGTCCGGGCATTTTGCCAGTTCTCAATCGATGCCGCCGACGCATGCACCAGGCTGCGCGTCGACTGTAGCTTGGCAAAATGCCCAGGCGATGCGCCGCAGCGCGTTGGAGGAGCCGCGCGAGCGGAGGCTGTGACTCTTATGTTGAAAAGCCCTGTAGACTTGAATGCGTGGGAGCTTCATATTAGAGAGAAGCGCGTCTGGTGCGATGAAGAAAGCGACAATTTAAAATTTTGCGCGTTAGACTATCAGTGCTCCAGCGCAGTGAAAATAGGGGTGTGTGACGTTTCGCACGATCGTAATGCTTTCCACACAGGACAGCGCCGCGCGCGACACACCCTGCGGCGGCTTTTGCCTAAACAAAACACGGGGAGGAAAGATTTGCGGCGTGCATTACATGTTAAGACAAGTCAAAATCAGGGAGACGCTGGTGACCGCCCCGTGCGAAAAGACCGTCTCCCAACGCAGAGCGCTACAGTACCATCGAGTTGATCGACACTCGCATCTATAAAGGGGCGGAGCATTGCAGACATTAATGATGTTGACGAACTTATTGAAGCATCACGTTAAAATACCGCTTTTTAAACTTGCAGCCAAAATTCCCACGCACAGTTATCTACCACATCGGTTAAGGATTTTATGCGTAGCATATGGGTATACTTTGCAGATGCTGGCAGAATTTCGCTCACAACACAAAGCGGCACATAGAAGTGAACTAGAGAATGAAATGACATTGCTGGAAGAGAGTTCGGCCAAGGAACGCCGTCTCACCGAAAGAATCGCTGTATTAGAAACCAACCTTCGCAATACAGAACAGGTAAGATTTAATCCGCATTTTGTGGCAGTTCTACTCTGGTTTTCGTTCATTACTTTTACACTTCCATTTGAATTTCGTGATTCAAGGAGCTTGCTCGATGTCGCAGCGAACTCGAACGACTGAAAGCAGAGCATAGCTCTGCTTCCGATACTGGTGCAGCGCTAGAAGAAGAACGACGAAGATTAAGAGTATGTCATTCAGTTTTCTTCTGTTGGTCATTAAATTAGTTTTGTTGCTTCCCATTTTACTGGCGTAAACAATATAAATGGCTTCATTAAGGAAGCCCATGCGGCAAAAAATTGATTGTATAGCTATAAAGTTCTATTCAACAGCTTCAACAGCCCAGTTTCTTTAGTGTGCTAATTAGAAGCAAATAAATTCTGTTTTCTTTTTTGATCTAGTTGTTAGCTTGATATAAAATTTAAAATTTTGCGGGCAGATTTGATAGTCTCATTGTTTGCATGTATCAACCATGGCATACTCGCATATAAGAGAGATCAGAGCGCAAACGTCGTAGTACAAAAACACTCTTCTCTTGTATATCGTCAGCTTGAAGCCGTTTATCGGAGCCTATCTAATCCCTAATGTAAGAAGCACCTTCAATGCTGCGTAAAGGGCCGGGCATACATCAAGCGATTTCGCCTCGCGAGTCACCCAACAAGACAACTGCTACAAATTCATTGCGTTCAGATGATTTTGCGCTACGGTTATGGTACTTTCCCAATACTGATTGCTACTAACTACCACAATCAAAATGAAAGATGATCAGCATGCAGTGAATTCGTAACAGTTGTCTTGTTGTGAGAATCGCGAGACGATGAAATCGCGTGGTGTATGCCCGTCCCTTAAAGCGCTTAGCCTCAAAACTGATGGGTGGGATTTTTTGGATACGTCCTATTTTTTATCTATGTTATCATGGTAGTATGTTCTGCTAATCTTTTTGAAATGCTCTTTTTCAGTTTAGATGGAGTTTTTCTAGATAGTGCTCATATTTCTCTTCGGTTCCGATCAAAGATTCAATTGAACATGAAAATATCATTTTCGTTTTATTTGCTAACTACTTTGTATACATTTTACTTTCTAAAGAAAAATGGAATTTTTCATGTTGTGCGTGACCTTTAATGCGGTAGAATCACAATTTTGCTTTTTGTGTCAAGAAGAACCTTGCTTCAATATCTTGAATTCTACATCCTCACCGTCAGTATCTCCAAACTCTACTTCCAGGCCGAACTCAAAGAAACTAAGGAACGAGAGCAGAGGCTTATGGGCGAGTATACAGAACTCGAAGAAGAGAACATCGCCCTACAGAAGACTGTGAGTTTACCTTTTTCCTCCTGTTTCACTTTTCCTCCTCTCTGAGTCCTAATTAGCGCACTGAATTCAGGTTGCCAACCTTCGTGGTGCGCAAGTGGAATTTGAATCATTGAAAATTGATTGTACCAAGTATGCCGATGAAATTTACATGTTGAATGCTGCAATAGAAGAAAGTCAATTGTTGAAGAATATTGCCGAGAAGCAGGTGCGAATCATATCGATAATTATTGATTAACAGTCATTATCTGTCTCTACCACTTACAACTACCACTTGTTAGGTGGAGGAAGCGCTTTTGGCTGCTCAACAAGAACGGGAGCAGCGATTGGCTATGAAGAAAGAGTTGGATGCTGTAAAGAATGCCGAACATTTGAGTAGCTTGACCGATATGCTCATGGGGTTGGAAAGGCTCGGAGAGGTGAGATCTGATTTTTTGAAACAGTGCCACTCAATGTTTGTTGTTACCTGTTTAAGGAGCCGGTACCTGCTCAGCCCTCTAATGATCTCTTCAGTGAACTTCAAGGAAGCACAGATGAAAAGGTGAGCGCTCTCATTTGAGTTTACCCTGTTCTTCATATTTTTTGTGCATCTTTCATTTATTTACATTTTTTATACTTTTTTTCTATCATGACACTTCAAAGTAAAACACTGAACTCCAACTTCAACATCCAAGCGCTGGACTTTGTTCATGCACGACCACCTATAAATCTTGAATCTGCCATTCCCATTTGTTATGTCAATCAAAAGAGATCCTGCAGCATGAGTTCTACTTGATTAAACGCGCTTTTTTGAACTTCGGTATAAGTTCCACCGCTTCGATTACATCTGCTGCTGACAATCCGTCTCAGAATGACAAAAATTCTCTTGTTCCAGCTTCGGGAATTAGAAGCCGCCCGTGATGGCCTACAAGAAGAGGTCAAGGACCGAGAAAAAGCAGCAGTTGAGATGATATCCAGTATAATGCAAAAATTGAATATTAATTATTCCGGAGGTAATTTCTTTGTGCCTTCTTTATTTTTGTGTCCATATGTTCATCTTTATTCTCAGACTTGGATTTCCGACACGTTCGCCAACAAAAAGATGTGGTACTAGACCGACTCGAGCACTTGCTGAAAGGCGATGATGCGAATGCTGATAAAAGGGTTCACGATCAAAAAGCCGACATCCGCACGTTGTTGCTGTTTGCGGGTGAAAAAGCCGCACAACTTGCAGCTGCTCAGGTACGCGGACTTTGTCATCACGTTTCGTGACCTCATTGTCTCAAGACTGCGCATTCTTGCCTTTTTTGAAGAACACAGACCTGTAGCATGAATTTGACATATGAGGTGAATTCCTTCGTGACTTTTTCACGTTTATCGGTGAAATTTCATGATTTCTTGTCATAAAAAGGATGTTGACAATGGATAAGCTGACCACGCTTCAATACAAATAATGTTCACTTTTTTTGTGAAGCTTGAATGTCACTACTTCTAATGATAGTGACGTCTCGCACCTGTTGTGAGTACGCCATACTTGGTAATGATTCCTAATTATTTCAGGATGCTATGATCCAAGTTTCCGATCAGCTATTCCAATTCTACTCGCAAATTGTACAAAATCAAGGTCTCACCTCGGAGAAATCTGTCATCGAGGTATGCTCAATCATACAAGGCGTTTTGCATCTATAGAATTGGAACTAGTTCTGTACTACATATCTTTCTCAGATCGTGAACAAGCTACGGCAACTTGCGCGTGAGAATGCGGAGGATTTGCCGAAAGTGTCACTAGTTGACGAGGGAGTGGAAAGTGGAACAGAAACCGACACAAGTGGTGCCAAGGGAATCCCACTCAACTCGGATCGAGCTGTAAGTAACGCTTGGGAATGCAGAAAGATTTGTATGGGAAACTCGGCGCACTTTTCGGTTGTTTGACATGTGCAAAAATAGGATTTGTCGCTTCTAGATTTGTATGATTTACATCAAAATCTCATTTTTCGGGAGCTTTTTTCAAGATATTTTTCCTTCATCGTTTTCTTTGACATTTCGCTTTGCTTCTGGCTATGCCGACTTTGTCTTAGCTACAGGTAAGATGCAGAGATTACTTGTTTGAGGATCATTTCTAGGGCTTATCATGTCTTTGTTTCGGTGACTCTATCCCTTCAGTCTGCCATAATTTTTTACTCTTAGCGAACATGTGTGCTGGTAAGCATCAACTTTCTTGCATATAAATCATCTAGTTTTTAGGTCCTTGCCCCATCGTTCATCCGAGATGTAGATCCTCGCTTGACAAGCTGCAAGATTAACGATGTTGTCAGTGAGAGTGACTTGCGACAACGAGTGCTTACAGGTGCGTGTAAACGACAGCTAGAATTTACTCAAATACAGGGTTTCATGTTTTTGTCTTCTTCCTCCTCCTCCATATGGATGAAGTGCATTTGATTATGTGTGTTTAGATGGCAGCCCTCTGTCCCAAACAAGCGACAGTCTCAAAAAGCTGTTGACAACAGTTAAGAGGACCGCCGAACAAGCACTTAATCAAGCCGTTGCGGCTGGAGGAGCTGAGACCGACGACATTCTTATGCAAAATATGAAGCTACGCTCATTGTTAAGTACAAAACGGTATGTTGGATGTCCCAGGGATCTGTTGTCCAAATGAAGTGTATGGAGATGTATTGGATTTACAGTGATCAGATCTCTACCCTGCGTACAGTGTTGAAGTCTAACAAATTGACAGCTGAGTCAGCTCTGGCGTCGCTGCGGGATAAGTACGAAGCCGATAAGAAGGCGCACCAGGTTGGCGGGGCGAACTTTTAGGTTGTCCCATAAACATTTACCATTTTTAGTGTAACCTTCGCCATTTTGTATCTTTCTTTCAGTTGATGTTTCTTGAGTAATCATTCGACAGGGCAAAGCAAGCTCTATAAGATGGCCAAGAGTCCGCCCAAATCGTATTCTACGTGAAGTTCTTAGCTCAAATCTGATAGCTGTCAAAAACGAACTTTTCGGGAAAAAATCGTACCTCTTCCCCGAAAGTTCTTTAGAATCCCCCATTTATCTTACCATATTTTTGACATATCGAGCATTCAACTGTACACTTTCCGTATTTTTTTTATGACTAGAAATAAAGAAAAATTGAATGGAGTAAAATGGCAAACTCCGCCCCTAGACGTTCTGAACTCCTCCCAAGCACGTGATCATACAGCTCATACGTACAGAAGTTCGATCATGTATTTGTGCCCTTTATAGGTGCCCTAATTCCCGAGAAATGCTGATGTTTAGGGTAAAAGCGGTAAAAAATTGTGGGACACCCTAATAGAAGTTCTGAACTACATACTATATCTCAGTAAATTGTAGGAAATTAGCGAACGCATGCGACGTGAGCTGAAACAGCTCAAGGAGGATGCGGCTACTTTTGCCAGCCACCGTGCTATGTTCACAGCTCGTTGCGAAGAACTGCAAGCACAGGTAAGGTTGAATTAAGTTGCTTGCTTCAATTTATTTTGTTTTTTTCTCCCTTTCGCGCTTATAATCTCTTCAAATTAGTATCCGAGCATGAATTCCTTGAAAACTTGTTGGGTGACCCATTTTTTGCATATTCTCCAGAATTTTGTTATATCTTTGTCATAAGTTTTTACAGTATTCGCTTTGCGTAAATAAATAAAATAAAACCAATGGGGAAATTTTGTGGTCTAGTTTAGGTTTGGCTGCTTTCACAGGAAATGAGGAAAAGGTAATGAGCTTAGGCTAGTTTTCACATCATACGTTATCGTTTTCACGAAAATTGGACATTACAGTATTACTAGCCGACCTTGTGGTGCAGAAAAGGTCAACTTCCGTTGCCATCTTGTAGGTAAAGTCGAAAGAATACCATTTGTACAGCCAAGAGGTTCTATGTGCAGCGTTCATGAAAACGATTGAGCGAGAGCTTTGGGGCTGAGCTTATCTGTTTTATCAAAGTTTCTCTTCAAATTGCTGGGGCGCATCTATCTCTGCTTGCTTCTCTTTTCTTGTCACAAGTGCACAATGCAGTCTTTGTTGTTATGAGTGGAATAAGAAGGACACCCCAATCAAAATATCTCCTTAACACTCATGCATTATTTCTCTTTTTTGTTGAGTTGCATATATGATGCATATTTTGTAGTTGGAACAGTACTCTATGGGTCGCCTCCAAAGGCCCCATAGGTGCGATAAGGTGAGAATGACTCCTCCAGGGTAAAGGGGATCACAGTGGTCGCAGCCCCTCCAGGGTGAAAGGTGTTTCACTTGATCGAGAAATTGTCAAATGTCGACCGAGAGGGGGGAGGGAGGGGAGTGATGATGGAGCGATGGTAATCTCATCATTCTCCCTAATCAACGTTTATCATTTTGAATTCCTTACCATCATTTGCTGTCTTTTTTTCTGAAGGCTGAAGTGGGATTGGAACCATCCTATCTGTTTTCGAAAATACCATAGAGTAGAGAATGGGCATGCAAGAACATCTGTCTCGGAGAGAGACACAATTTTTGAGCATTTACAAATTTCTGAAAGAAAAAATTTATAGCTTCTGTAGATGAACAGCAACGTAAGCAAGGAAATTGTTTTCAGAACCATCTTTTCTTTCGCTTTCAAGAACTATGTAGTTTGTCTGGGGTCATTTCAAAAAAGTGCCTGGCGAAGCGCGTGGGTAGTGATCTCCAAATATTTATGAACTTTAAGAAAAAAATTCATAACTTCTGTAATGAAGATCTTATACGCCTAAATGGTCTCCGCTGGAACCCTTGGAACCCTCTCTTCCTCCGTTTTTGGAAGATGTATAGTTTGCCTGAAGTCTTTGAAAAAAGTGCTGGTGAAGGGAAGTGGTGATTTTTGGATATTTACGAGTTTTAAGGATAAAAATCTCATAACTTCTGTGTAGGTGAACTTGTAAAAGGAGTTTGTTGACGTTGGAACCGCCTCATTTTCCGCTCTCAGAAAATATATAGCATGTTTGAGATTCCAGAAAAATGCCTGGTTGAAGGGTGTGCTTAGTGATTTTAGGAATTTTCGAGTTTTTGACATTTAAAAACTCATAGCTTTCGCAGATGAACAGATAGTACATGGAAATGGCCACCATTGGAACCGGCTTGTCCTCCGCTTTCAGAAAACGTATACTTTGCCTGGAGTCCGTGAAGAAAAGTGCCGGGGGAGGGTGGGTGAGACTTTTATAGTGGGATTCTCAGGTAGTTTTTTAACCATTGCATAAAGACATCTACTTGAGAACTCCCATTATAAGAGTCTCACCCACCCTTCACCCGGCATTTTTTTTTGAAGCACCCGAAGCAAAGTATATATTTACTGAAAGCGAAGGACGAGACGGTTCAATGGTGACCATGTCGGCATACAAGATGTTCATCAACGAAAGTTATTAATTCTTTATGTTAAAACTCGAAAATCTCCAGAAATCACTGGGCACCCCGTTCATCCAGGCACTTTTTTGGAAGGATCTCAGACATGCTATATATTTTCTGAAAGGGAGGACGAGGCGGCTCCGACGGTGGTTATTTCCTTGCACCAGCTATTCACCTGCAGAAGTTATGAATTTTTTGTCCTTAAAACTCGAAAATCTCCAGAAATCACCAGGCACTTTTTGAACGGATCTCAGACATGCTTATGTTTTCTGAAAACGGAGGACGAGGCGGCTTTGATGGTCACTGTTTTCTTGTACGAGCTATCATCTACAAAATTTATATTTTTTGTTGAAAAATGTTGAAAACTCGTAAGTGTCCGGAAATCACTGGGCACACCTTTCACTAGGTATTTCTATGAACGGACTCTAGGCAGACTATTTATTCCCTGAAACCAGAGGGAAACGTTGTACTACGGAGCTTTTCTCGCTGACGTTGCTGTGCAGCCGCAGAAGCTACTCTTTTTTCCCTCCTGAAAGTTCGTGAATGCCTATAAATCTTTCCTCATTTCCGATACACAAACAATTCCTGTACAAATATCTCCTTTGCTCAACCTTACCTCACTGTTGATTTTTTTCCTTGGTATTCCGTGAAGGGGTCACCTTGGTCCCAGTCGGTGAAAAGGGGGTGAGCAAATTCTCACATTATTGCACCTACGAAAGGCACCCCGCATCTTTGTCAATTTAGAGCATATACAAAGTACAGTGTACAACTCCCTATAATGCCCTTCTTTCAAGGTAGAAGAGCTAGAGGCTGATCAGCGCAATAGCGAAGAGGAGAAGAAGACCCTCAACCAGCTTCTTCGTTTGGCCATCCAACAGAAACTCACGCTTACCCAGGTAATCATATTTAGCATCCTTTCAACACATCAAATTTCGATTGGGATTTTTAGCGTTTGGAAGACGTGGAAGTGGACCGTGATCGCCAAGCTTTGAGACAGGGTGGTAGCAAACGCCAGGGGGGTCAAGCCAGAGGCGAAGGCTTTCAACCCCGCGTTGTGCGCTATCCAACCCAACAACAGTCGGGGGGCCAACGAGGAGGAGTTCGCAGGGACAACCTTTAGGTATGCGTTTTAGTCGATACTTGCCCGTTATTCGTTTTCTATAGTATTTGGCAATTTGTCAGAAGACTGTTGTTAATAGGTGTTCAGAGGCGGCGGGCTCCTCCCATTTTTATTCCTCTCCTCTCCGACGGGTTACTCTTTCAAATGCGCTGGTGAATATAGACAACAGCGGCGGTTTCTCATGCGAGCTTCCTCATTCTCTGATTGAAAACAGCCTTCTACTTGATTATTTGGACGAGGAATGGCAGAGTGAGTCGATTCGATGTATATCTCACTTTTTGTGTAGTTCGATTAGTCACTCACTAGCTGGCTTACCCGGCTCCGCCGTATCCGGACCAAACTTGGCGCACATACACTACGGGCCCCGGCGGGTGTCACAGTCCACTTTTCGTTATCGATCGATGTCGATTTTACCGATTTTTATCGATTTTTTTGCAGAGTTCACCTACAGGGCTAGGAGTTGGCGCAAGGGGGAAGTGAGCATGGGGATTTCGAATACAATATTAGTTTTCAGAATTATCGATTACTTTTATTGATTTTATCGATTTTTTGTAAATTTTGACATGCGAGGCTGGGATTTTGCACAGGGGGGTAATCGAGCATGCTGATTACGAACACAATATTAGTTTTCAGGATCGTCCATTACTTTTATCGATTTTATCGATTTTTTTGTAAAGTTTGACCTGCGGGGCTGGGAGTTTGCACAGGGGGTAATCGAGCATGCAGATTACGAATACAATATTAGTTTTCAAGATCGTCCATTACTTTTATCGATTTTATCGATTTTTTGAAAATTTGAGCTAGGGGGCTGGAATTGCACAGGGGTGTAATCGAGCATGCTGATCACCCCCCTTGGGGATGATCAGCATGCTCGATTACCCCCCTGTGCCAACTCCCAGCCCCCTAGCTCAAACTTTGCAAAAAAATCGATAAAATCGATAAAAGTAATCGATAATCCCGAAAACCAATACTGTATTCGGAATCCCCATGCTCGATTACCCCCCTGTGCGAACTCCCAGCCCCGTAGCTCAAATTTTGCAAAAAAATCGATAAAATCGATAAAAGTAATCGATAATCCTGGAAACCAATATTGTATTCGGAATCCCCATGCTCGATTACCCCCCTGTGCCAACTCCCAGCCCCGTAGCTCAAACTTTGCAAAAAATCGATAAAATCGATAAAAGTAATCGATAATCCTAAAAACCAATATTGTATTCGGAATCCCCATGCTCGATTACCCCCCTGTGCCAACTCCCAGCCCCGTAGGTGAACTCAGCAAAAAAAATCGATAAAAATCGATAAAATCGATATCGATCGATGACGAAAAGTAGCCTATGACACCCGCCGGGGCCCGAAGTGTATGTGTGCCAAGTTTGGTCCCGATCGGTTCAGAAATGGAATTTTCTATTCGGAACATACGTACAGACAGACATACATACAGACAGACAGACAGACAGACAAACAGACATTCAGCTTTATATATAAGACTAGCGACCCTACGGGTCGCTAGTAGGTGGGTGGGGGCAGATACACTGATATCTGCTATTAATTATCTAAAAATCCTAAGAAAGAGAAATTCATCTTCCCAGCGATCTTTCGCGTGTGTAAATAGTTTGCCAGTGAACGGACTCATTTCCTAGAACAGACTAAAGCTGGCCCAACGCCTTCTTCTGAAGGACAATTTTACCGAAAGTCCTATCGCATGACCCCTAGGTCTTTCCTTCCCTCAAAACCAAGCTTCTTATGCTTCCGCTTTTAGGGGCAGAAGCATGGTTGAGAAGAAGGGGCCGTAATTTTTCCAGCAAGTTTCTGTATAATCAAATATTGACACCTAAAAATTTTTAGCGCAAATATCTTGCTGCCTGAGCGCTGAGTCTTTTCTTCCCTCGAGACCAAGCTTCCTGTTTTTTTTTTTGCTTCTAGGAACAAAAGTCTGTTTTTTGCGAAGTTTAAAAGGCCAAAATTTTCAGCAAATAATTTCATGTCGCAAGAAGCTCATGGGTCTGCCTTTCCCTCGAGACTATTCTGCCTTCATACGAAGAAGTCTGGTTTTTGCAGAGTAGAATGGCCACAAGTAAATTTCAAATAAGTTTCTGTAGAATAAACATTGACACCCAGAAATTTTTAGCGAAAGTATCTTGTCGGCTGAGCTTAAAGTCTCTTCCCCTCGAGACCAAGCTCCTTGTGCTTCTTTGCTTTTAGTGCCAGAGGTGTGGTTTTCGAGTTTTGTGGTTTTTGCGAAGTTTGAGAGTCAAACTCTTAGCGAAAATGTCCTGTCGCAAGAAGCTCATTTGCCTGTCCTTCCCTAGACACTAAATTCCCTGACCAACCTATCTGTGCTTTTCTGCTTTCAGGGCAGAAGTACTGGTATTTGCGAAGTAGAAGGGTCCAAAAGCTTCCGTAAAAATGTGCTGTCGCAAGAAGCTCATGGGCCTGCCCTTCCCTAGACACTAAATTCCCTGACCAAGCTATCTGTGCTTTTCTGCTTTCAGGGGCAGAAGTACTGGTTTTTGCGACTTAGAAGGGGCCGAACGTTTCTGTGGAAATGTCCTGTCGCAAGAAGCTCATGATTCTTTCTTCCCTCGAGACCAACCACCCTGTGCTTTTTTGCTTTTAGGGGCAGAAGTACTGGTTTTTGCGACGTAGAAGGGGCCGAAAGTTTCTGTGAAAATGTCCTGTCGCAAGAAGCTCATGATTCTTTCTTCCCTCGAGACCAACCACCCTGTGCCTTTCTGCTTTTAGGAGCAGAAGTACAGGTTTTGCGAAGTCTAAGGGGTCAAACGCCTTAGCGAAAGTGTTTGTCGCATGAAGCTCATGGTTCTGTTTTTTTCTCGAAACCAAGCTATATGTGCTGTTTTGCTTTTAGAGGAAGAAGTGTGGTTTTTGCAAAGTAGAATGGCCAGAAGTAAATTTTAAGCAAGTTCTGTATAATCGCTGACACCCAGAAACTTCTGGCGAAAATATCGTGCTGCCTGAAGCCATAACTCTTTCTTTTCTCGAGACCAAGCACCCTGTGCTTTTCTGCTTTCAGGGCAGAAATACTGGTTTTTGCGAAGTAGAAGAGGCCGAAAGTTTCTGTGAAAATGTCTTGTCGCAAGAAGCTCATGGGTCTATCCTTCCCCAGAAACTAAATCCCTTGTGCTTTTCTGTTTTCAGGGGTAGAAGTATGGATTTGCAAAGTAGAAGGGCCAGCAGTGAGTTTCAAGCAAGTTCTGTGTAATCATTGACCCTCACAAACTTCTAGCGGATATATCTTGCTGCCTGAAGCCATGATTCTTTTTCCCTCGAGACCAAGCACCCTGTGCTTTTCTGCTTTCAGGGCAGAAGCACTGATTTTTGCGAAGTAGAAGGGGCCGAAAGTTTCCGTGAGAATGTCCTGTCGCAAGAAGCGCATGGGTCTGTCCTCCCCTCGAGAGCACTTTGTTTTTTTACTTTCAGAGGCAGAAGTATGGTTTTTGCGAAGTAGAAGGGCCAGAAGTAAATTTCAAGGAAATTTCTGTATAATTAGATATTGAACCGTAGAAATTCTTAGCGGAAATGTCCTGCCGCCTTAGTTTATAAGCCTTTTCTTCCCTCGAGACCAGGCTCTTTGTGCTTTTCTGATTTTAGGGGCAGAAGTGAGATTTTTAAAAGGTAAAGGCGGGCCAAAGTGAATTTATAACAACTGTAGGTAAATTTACCGTCTTCGTCAATTCCGAATGTGATTATAGAATTCTCAGCTGCTCACTTACCCCGGACCAGTGCCATCTTAGCCTCGTAGCTTCAGCTTTGAAAAAAGATGAAATCGATAAAAGTAATGGGTATTCTCAAAAACGGTTACTATCTATTTGCAGTGAGCGTATTCACATACAATTTGCGCCAAATGCCAGCCGTGTAGCTCTGATTTTACAAACAACAGAAAAATCGACAGAAATAATAGGTATTTCAAAAACACTTATTACAATCGTAATTGGCATGCTCGCTTTTTTCCCATGTGCCAAATCCCAGTGCCGTGGCTCAAACTTTGCAAAAAATCGATAAAGCCAGTGAAGGTAGTTAATAACTTGTAAAATAAGAATGCGTTCGTGAGCAGCGCTCAATTACCTGCCCCTACCGACCCCCAGCGCCGTGGTTCAAACACTGCAAAAAATCAATTAAACCTAGAAGTAATGGATATTTTCTGAAATGGTTACCATATTCGTTATCGGGATTCTCGCTTACTCCCCTGTGCCAACTCCCAGCCCCGTAGCTTGAGCTTTGCCAAAAAAGTGATAAAATGATAAAAGTTATGGATAATTCTAAAAACTAATATTGTATTCGTAATCAGCATGTTCGTTACCTCGTAGTTTAAAATCTGCAAGTAGTCGATGAATTTGGTAGAAGTAATAACAAGTTTCCATACTGGGAAACGATAGACACGAAAACACCATCGAGGACCTGTAGACAGCATCAACAACACGCAAGCATGCTTATCCACCAGCGTACAGACAAGACCACCAGCGTACAGACAAGTACACCATTCGGTTTTATATATATAGAAGGATTGTTTCTACAAAGAAATTGACCTTTTCTTGTTATTTTCTTGAAGCAATAGTTTGTTACCTGAATTACAAAACATATTTGAATGTATACATTTGGCAGTGTAGCTCTGCAGCCATGCGCCCACACGCAGTCTGTGTCAATTACATACTCCTTAATGCGTGCAGACTATGCACCCGCAGCGCGAGGACCTTGCCTGCCTATCTCCGCTCGATGCCAATTTGATTGCCAAGCTATACGCATGCGAACGTGGCGAAATCTGCGTGGCTATCGCGTATTGAATAAGAGAGGACGCGAGTGACACAGGCTATATATGTAGCATTCTGACACATACAAAGTGTCCCAAAAAATGTGAACACTGTTTGATCGTTAATAACTCCCTTGCTATTATGTCTTTCGCCGTTCTTGAGGAACCATTCTGTAGAGCGAGGTCTAACTTAGATTCATAGTATGGAGCGAATCGTCGATCGCTCTTCATTACTGTAGGATTACGGTAGGAACTTTGGCAAGGATTTTAAGCCATTGAAAGCCATATTCTGCCTCGGAACAAAACCAAACAAGCCAAAAACTTTTATACATGGGTAATGGAAGCCGCTGAGTTCGAATATGTTCCACTTCACTGTGATGCTTCTTTCCAAAGTTATTTCAGGTGAACCTCAATACCCGAATTTCCAGCATTTGTCAAAAAAGTGATTACACCGTCAAAAAAGCTAAAAACCCTTGTTAAAAGTTGGGTTATGGTCAGCGTGCGCGAAGACCTTAGTACAGATTTTTCAGATTTTTTGAAAAAAAATTGTCAAATGGCATATTTCACAGTAGCATGCCAGAAGTTCATACCGTAATCCTACAGTAATGAAAGGCGATCGGTGATTTGCTCCATACCACAAATCTAAGTTTAACCTCGCTCTACAGAATGGTGCCTCAAGCTCGGCGAAAGACATGAAAGCTACGGAGTTATTAAAGACCAAACAGTGTTCACATTTTTTGGACACCCTGTATATTGTTTAGGGTTCCCAGAAGTGTCGAATTACCTCTGACGCAAAAACTGTTAGAGTTGCTTGAAACGGAGTTTTTTCTAGGATGCCAGAGCGAAGCAGTCTTTGCTGTAGACCCGGCCATATTCGAACTTGCGCTTGACGACCTTCGAATGCAACTGCCATTACCTCGACTGTTTGCTGATGTGGAGCTAGTTGTACTGCTCTATGCGTCACTTGCGTTCTTCTGGCTGTTCTTCACCTATACCCCTTCATACTAGTCCGCGTGTGGGCACGGCTAAGCCTCCGCCCGCTAAGTACACTCTGACAATCGACTAAAGCTGATCTGTTAATTGTCAGCCATTGTTTCGGCCATTTCGTTATGCTGACGTTGTGCTCTGTATCCGTGTCTATGGTGAATTCCACACAGATGATACATATGCGAATGTGCGGCTTACCAAGATTCCGTAATAATCTCGCGCTCCTACTCCCATATCGTATGCAAATACCATTGCGGTTGTTTCTGATTGATTTTCTATCTGCGGACCACTTAGGGTAATTGTTATGCGTGATAACGATATTGCATGCTCCTTTGATCGTCGTCATCGTGATTTTTGTCAGGCCGCGTAAATGTCTTGGGATTGCTCACCCTCATTATTGTGATACATATATGCCGTTGTCCCAGTAATTCTTCGATTTCGTTCCATAGTCATAGGAGAAAACTAACTGTTGATTTTGCAGAGAAAAAGTGTCCTTGAATTTGTTTAAATTGACCAAGAGAGTTATGTGCCTTTAAACGCACTACCACACTTAAGTTATTATTCCCATTGTAATTGTTTTCCACATTTGATTGTGATAATCTGTTAAGTTGAGCCAAATTGACTCTATTTGTATAAATTATATCTCATCAGTTCTATTGTAAAGTTGCATTGAGTCAAAAAATATTGTTTTCTGGTTCGACCTTGCATCGCCAGCTACCGTAAAGCTCAATCACATTCAAAAAAATTTTGAAGGAAATGTCCGAGCAATATTTGGGTTGTGGGAACTGTCTTATAAATGGGGCCACAACTGGACCAAACCCTGACCAAGTGTGGACGAAAAAAATAGCAAGCAAACCTGTTAAGATGACAAATAGAATGAAACGAGGAAACAAAACAGCCTGATTCGATCTCTCAAAATGTCTATTCTTGCACATCTTTGCCACTACTGTTTAGGTAAAAATTAACTTCTGCAAAAAATTCATTGCCTACAGTAAAAAATGATAATTTTGCATCTGGGATGGTCAAAAAATACGGGCTGAATTTATTTACTGTACATACTTTCAACAACAAAATTTCAGTACCGTAATCATAAACAGTGACAGAAGTTAAACTTGTCAAGAAATTCAATATATTTTCCTAAACATTTCGTTGCAAGGTACCCGATAGACATTCATGTCATAGTAGAATATAATGAGGAGGTATGGATGGCAACATCAAACATTACATTTGAGATGAACTCACAAAATTATCCATGTGCTTGCTGATCACAGCCGCTTATGGTCACTGCCAAATGCATACTAACTCCTTCGACACTGCTCATTCGTTTCAGCAATTTGTTGGAGAAGAAAGTTCACAGTTGGACCACTTTTGTGTGACTCTTCTTCCAAAATTACGCGAGGGCCATAATTATCCAACACTAAAGATGAGCTAATTTATTGTATGAGTATTCCTGACTTTGTTGATCTTCAAAAAAATCTTCTAAATTATTATTGATTTTGAACACTTCTTGACCCATATGACCTATCTTACTTTGAGACCACATGAAAGTTAGCTGAAGAAGTTCAGCCACTGGTCTAGCACTGACTGATCAGTCTGAGACCTTACCTTCTTTTAACAGATGTTGAATAAATCTTGAGTCTTATGGACCTTCACAAAAGGTTCCCGCTAAGCATACGTAAATCCGCATTCAATGACGGCATGATACCAACTTACAACTATTCTCCCAGCTCCAGATATATTGCATCGAATTGTGTCCAGCCACTGGCTTCGAAGTCATTGCACTCTCCCAGAATGAAGAGCAGCATTCTCTCCTAGAATTATGATAATAAAGCATTCTGTTAGAAAATTAAAGTGTATGGGTCATGAAAACCTGTGAAGGAGAGTTAATTCAAGAAGAAGGTGACTCTCAATTTCAACATGCTTCTAGAAGAATAAGTGCTCATAGATCATTTTCTTGGCTCTGATAAAGACATACGCGCGAAACGCTGGTGAGGAAACGAAACTGAAAAAAGGGGTAGATTGAATACAATCACCTATGAGCTTTTCAAAAAAATCTTGAACTTCATGGATGAATGCAATGTATTACCTTCAGATAAAAAATAAGTAACTATTTCACATTCTTGCCAAAAAAGCTACTGAATGTGCTACAAGGGTCTGTGTAAAAGAAATTGGCTGCCGGTAAAAGCGCCGCTTAGGTGGGCGGGTAGTCGCCGCCTAGCTTACTAACCTTCACACGGTATGCTGCAGCATGTGCGAAAGGACACTAGACCGCTCTACAGGCTTCATTCTTTTTCCAGAAAACCTACACAGAGCAATAAAAAAGATCAAAAAAAGAAGAGCAAACCGCAGATTTGCGTGACACTTTTGGATCTATCGCAGCTGCTTGTGATCAGAGCGCACAGAATTCGAATTACTATACGTGTTCACAGCAGGCCGTGGAAGGCCACTAGTCACTAATTTAATTTCGCCCACTCTAATTCCAACAGTATCGGATTACGGGCAACTAATTACACTTCACAAGTGTTCAAAAACAGCTAATATGTCAAAAACCCATGATTGAAATCTTCAAAAACAACATAAAAGTGATTAAACAGGAAATAATAAACAATTACGTACTCTTCCCATTGCGGCTCGAAAAAGCTACCCAGGTCCGGTCGATGCGGACAAAAAGCGTACAGCATTTGTCGGCTACATGACCATCCCATTTTCCATGACTCTAAAAGCATGCTTTCCAGTGCAAAAGGCGATGAGAAAAGGCTACCTTACCTTTTAACAACCGTGCCACTCGTAGAGCTTTACACATGAGCAAATTTCCATTTTCCTCATATATGAGCACTTCCTCACCGCTATGACGTAAGCGCGAAAACCTTCGACGCACCTGAAACATGGCAGAGATTGATATACGAGCTGCTTCGCTATTTCTAGCAACCTCAGCAAGTTGATCGAAGCCAAAGGCTTCTGCCGTGACTAGCTGTGGTGGAGTAATGTATCGCTCGTGCTGTCCCCAACCCAACCGAACCTTTGGAACAACCTAAAAGATAAATAGAACTGCAATTTGAATGACTCCGACCTAAAAAGTGACTTACGAGTTTCAGCGCGAGGCAAAACTTCTTGGCTGCTTGCAGTCGCTTTGAGTAGACCAAACCAGACACATCATCGCCATTAATGACAGCTGCATCCAAGATACGAACAAGACTTTCAGCAGCTACTGTCTCCAGACGTTTGTCAACCTGACATAACCGTGTTTTTCTAATGCAAAGGATGACAAAGAATCCATTTTGTAGATCATGGATTTATTTCCATGAAAATTTTTTTATGAAAAACAAAAAAGTTCCTCACCAGCTTATACGTTGTTGCTCTTTCTACTAGCAGCACTGTACGATCAGGAATTCTCATCAAATTATTGTCAAGCTTTTCCCAGTGCTTCTTCCATACAAAAACTGCATCCTAAATTCACCATATTACGCAATATAAAATCACTGTTGCGTCCTTCACCTACCCCAGTGGAGATAAGCAGCTCCGGTTGCGTGCTTGCTCGATTAGATAGTATGTTGAATGAAAACTCAGCATATTTCAGCTCCTTAACAGTTCGCTCCGTCAAAAGATTGGCGGTAAATGGTGGCAGTCGAGCGTTGAAATCTTCGCGACCATAGAACTGAAAATCATGCCAATTGTATTTTTTGCTTCGCACCATGTGAAGCCAAAGCTGATTTGGTTCGTCAAATTTACAACCCTGCGTTAATCACAAGAAAACTTATTTATTCACTAATAGTTCACTGCAGCTTACAAAGGAAGGATACCAACATTAGTCGGCGATTGAAGATGAGATGCATATCAGTAGACGCGCCTTTGAACGCTGATACCAAATTTGTTTTCTTTTTTTGCGGAACAAGTTTCCGAAGGAAGTTGTGGGCGTTCAAATGCCCAAATTTGTCAAGGTTTAGGCGGCCTAAAATTGGCGAAAAGCTGTACAAAAACACCGGAAAGTCGAAAACCATTTTGCATCGAGTATATTGTTTGCAAGGAAGGAACAAAACCGGTGGAAAACCATAGGTGTTGTTTTCAAGCTTTTCTCTGATTTTGAGCCACTCAATGCTTGGCAAATCTGGACATTCAAACGCTCATAACTTCTTTCGGAAACTTATCCCGCAAAAAAAGGGAACAGATTTGGAATCAGCGTTTAAAGGCACATCCAATGATATACATGTCATCTTCAATTGCCAACTAATGTTGGTATCCTTCCCTTGTTATATGACATTGAATTTATGGAGGCTCTGCGGCAAGCTAGTGGTATCTTTTGTGAAGCTCATTCTGAGGGAAACTGCGCGCAATAATGAATGACGCGCCAATTGTTTTCATACATAGAAAAGTCCCAGAACCTCAAGATGTAAAAATGAACATCACTTGAATCCAAAGTAATCCAAGACATGACATTATCTATAAATGAAAAATACAAAGATGACAAAGTAGTAGAGCACCTCGAAATTGCTAGAATTCTTGCAAAAGGCTTAGCATTTAGGGCAACGGTACTGAATGTTCGTGATTCGAATAAGGTGAAAAGTTCACCTTTCTAGTAAATCTCCCAAAGTATTGATCTGGATCTATTTGTTGTCGTTCTGCTCCACGTTCTCTTCGATCTAGTGTTTTGTTGGGAACAAGCCAGTATTTCAGGCAATCATCGCGAAGTGTACCCTACAAATGGAGTAAAGTTGTTGAAGGAAATGGCTGCAAAATTAACCAACCTGATCTTTGTCTATGAGAGAACTGTTCTTAGCATAAGTGAGATATTTTTGCAAATAGGTGGATTGCCGTGAAGCGATACTAAAGAACGGTAAAGATCAGAAATAATGCATTGAAGTACAGAAAGATTACTGTTCGTTGTGACCCGTCAAGTAACTGCGAAATGCCTCATCGTTCTTCATTGTTTCGAGCGGTACAATGCTGTTTACATCTTGTGAAGATTTACTCTTAGTTAGCTCATCCAGTTTCAAGTTCACCCTGAACATACCGCGTTGGAAGAAGAAGCACTACTAGTGTAGAAATGTACCTCTTGAGATAATCTCGAATAGCATCTGAGTAGTTCTTACGCAAGCCTCGGCAGATAATGTACCTGAATTAGTAAACTCTCAAGCAGAAACGGAGGTTCAAGAAGAAGAAACACCTCTCAGAATTTGCTGGTCGACTAGTGTGCGGCTTGTGCAGCGAGATTTGCTCGTAAGCTACATACATCAAGTAGATCAAACCAGCACTGAACACAATATAATCGCTATGGTCACAAAACTCTCGAAATAATCTTAAAACTTGCTTTCCAACCTGAATGGTGTAAAGACGTCAAAGAGTTTGCAGAAAAAGATACCACCTTCCTTCACAATGCAAAGAGAGACTAACAACTGGCAGAGATATAGTCGTTTGGAAAGAATTTCCTAAAAACACTTTTTTCTGATTCTAAACGATTCGTCAGTATTTGAACAATAGTATGCATGCCGTCAAAACGTTGATAAACATGAAAAATCGAGATAAAAGCTCCGAGGAAATCGTGCATGAAGGATTTTTCACCTGGATATCCTCTTGTCCTTCAACACTAAATCCGCCATCAGCCATCATGAGATCCACACCAACATCATTGGTACCTAAAAACATTCAATTTTCGCCAGTATAAATCGCGATCCTAGCGCACCTTTCATAATGAAGTCTTCCAAAGAGTCAATATTTTCGGGATTCATAACATCTCCATCGCCATGTTTGCCATAGTATGGCTCAAAGTAATATGCAGACGAGGCAGTAAACTTTCCGAGCTTGAAGTCGTCCTTTCCTAATTCAACATAATAAGGAAGCGCATATGAAGGCATAAAAACACTGTTGTAAAATTACCTTTCAGGGTGAAACCGAAACCTTTCGCATTATAGAATGCCTTGCGCCACAACATATATTCAGAAAACCCTCCAGGTCCAGCGCATACATCTGCAAAGTAGAACAACGGTGTTTCTCGGTCGCAGTTACTGGTCGGTCGATCACACTTCAGTGGATTCTTATTCTAAATAAATGAAAATCATACAAAATTCTGTCCCCCAAACCACAAACCAGCAACTTCTCTTCTGATTCTGAACTAATGAGCCAGTTGAAGACCCTATCCAAATTTGCGGTTTTCATAGCTGCCCGATTTTGGAAGAATGCTGCCCCAATAGTCTCGTAAGGATTAGCGCGTGTGCGTGCTTCGCGAAGATCACGGTCCGGGATGACGTCGAACACCTGGACACAGCGAGAACTAGAGAGGACTGAGAACACATGAAAAGTCTTAGTGACTAACGTCCACTAGCTTCTATCCTATTTCTAAAAGGGAAATTAACGATTCAAACTGACTGACATCCTTTGACTTGATCATCGTCCGCAATATCTCGCCATCGCAAAATTCAGTCTCGTCATCGATAGTGAGCTTTTTCTAAATCAAAGCACCTACTAGAATAAAAACAAGCTATGTGCAGAACAGCATGATCCTCAACCCAGACGAAATGTAGTTCGCAACTTATATTCGCTCAATGGTTGCCTACACCCCATTGAAAATTAGGACGTAGGTAGTCACGATCGCAGAACTCAGTTGCAATAACTTGCAGTATCACATTTCTACTACCTCGTAAGATGACAACCCAGTGCAAGGACGTACTTGCGAAAAAACATCCCTACTATAAAAACCAAGGAAGATTTGAGAAAATTGCTAACAAATCAAGTAAATAAAAACGAATTCATGTACCATACCTTTCCTACTTGCATCCAATCAGACTCCTCTAACTGTTCCACAACCCAATCTCGAGTGTTCTGTGGGCATTCCCTCAACCATATAACTCGCTCCTCGATGGTTTTTTCTTCCTTCGTCTCATCCCAAGTCTCCGTGAAGTCTCGACCTATTGCCTCAAATGTCGAAAATGGTCGAAATTAACATCACAATGTAAGTCTAAAGCACCTTGGTAATTTGGTGTCCCAGACCAACACGGCCACGCTGCGTAGAAAGCGCCACTGGTTCGACCATACCTAAAACGTACAAAAAGGGCGTGAATCCATCTTGAATAGGCTTCATGAAACACCAAATGCCTACCGAAAGAAATGGAGAATAGAAAACACAAAAACATTATGACAAAAGGTAAGTAAAGACCCACCTTGTTTCTGCTTTCCTAGACCTGAGCCCTCTTTGTAACCCATTTTCGCCATCATTTTCTCAGCATTGGTCATTGGCTTCCGCACTGCATCCTCATCCAAAGCCTTTATTTTTTCAGCTGGGGCTTCTCCATCATCGGTAGACGAATCGGATAGATGGCCGTCGGCAGAATCATCTGTGTATCTCCTCTTACCCTTAAACGAGCATAATGAGAAGAGAAGTTTATCCAAAACTACGATACCTTATAGTGATCATATTCTTCATCAAATGTTTCTTTCAGGTCTTCATGTCTGGCTTTATTGAGAACTGTCATCCTGTTATGCTCTTTGGCGCTGGAGGGAGCATCAGACTCAGAGTCCTAGATGAAATGCTGATGAGCTCAACAAAGAGGCTTTAAATAGAAGGTTTGAAAGCGGGTAAAAGGATTTTTCTACGTGTACATCCAATCTCATTCTAATCCGCTCACTATGATTTGAAGAAAAGAAAGTATAGCGAAAAACGGCTAAATGAGAACTTTATCCAAAGAAATGTGGAGAAGTAAAGCACTCACAGATGATTCCGCAAACATCCCGCAGTTTGAGCTTCACGCTGAAAAAGAGTGGCGTGGCTTCACTGCTGAAAAATCCTGTATGTAAGCAAGAGCTCAAGAATATTTACTGCGACACAATAAAACAAAGGTGAGAATAATAAAATGACGAACTGAAAGCAGACGATTATCCCATTATCCATTACTAGTTTTTTTTATCACTTTTAGCGTACTGTACATGCCATATAGTGCACGATATGAATTGCAGAATTCGCAAAAACGCGGCTCATGCGTTGCATTTCACGCGCTCATGCGTGTTCATTTTGTCCACGTCATCTTCAGTCTCATTATTTTCCACTTAGCAGCCTTGGTGCTCGTCTTCAAAATAATTAACACTTCTTTTAGGATGCTGGCCATCATTTGCCTACTATTTTTTGTCTTACAAACATCGGGTATTGAGTTGACATTTGAACTGCCTGACAATGCAAATCAGTGTTTTTATGAAGATATCAAAGCTGGAGTAGATTGTGTTATCGAGTTTCAGGTGCGTACAGTTTGATTCCTTTTGTTTTCTTTTCGGTATTTATTTTTCTGCACTATGTTGACCTTTGCTGCATTTATGGAACCACTTCCTATCCATCTAGCGTTCATCTTGTTCAGGTAGTTACTGGTGGGCAGTATGATGTTGATATGACTTTGGAAGATCCGCATGGAAAAGTGTTGTATAAAGATGTCAAAAAGCAGTATGACAGCTATAACTGGAAATCACAGGTAGATAAAAATCCTCTAAATTTTTGGTCTATCCATGAGTTATTTTAGGTGCCCGGCACATACAAGGCATGCTTCTCTAACGAATTCTCTACATTTTCTCACAAAATAGTCTATATGGACTGGCAGGTACGTTTAATGCATTAAAATTTGGTATCAATCCCGTTACTCCTAGTAATTGTTTGATTACAGGTCGGTCCTCCTGATCAACACAATAAAGTCCCAGCTCCAGCTAATCATGCTATGACCACTATTGAAAATTCTGCTGTTGCGATAGCTGACAAGTTGAGAGTGGTGAGTGCATCTATTTCTTTTTGTGTGGCACACATCCAGTTTTTTTTATCGATCGAATATAATGCTAGCAAATCGTACTAGGCTTTCTGGTATTTATGAAATCATGTACTGTTGAATAGTGTGAAGAATAGAAAGAATCCCTGCACATCGGATCCCGCCTACGGCGCCGGGTGGTCGCAAGACTGATGTCAGGGTCCTCAGGGCGTCTTTTGGATAGACAAAAACGACACGTCTGCCAAGTTTATATATTACTATTATGTGAAGCGGATAGTATCATTTCTGATTTGTTGTAGTACGTCAGTGCTTCTCCCCACTGCTAAAAACTCGCAGTGGTGTATTATAATGAATTACGAATGAATCCTAAACAGCTCTCATGGACGGCGGAAACGATCTGTTGAACTGTTGCCATGTATAGTGTTCATCACGAAGTTTCATAGTTCGGCAACCGATCGCAACAAATTCAAAAAAAAAAAACGAACTCCCACTGTACACAAATCGTACGTTTTGGCTAAATTTTCGTGACTAACGCGTGACAATCGTAACTAAGCGCGTACTCACAGTTCGATCAGTTTGAACATACTATTCATCTCAAGAATAAGAGACTCGAAGTCGCTTTGCACACATTGTCTACACAAGCTTGAACATGTGGTCAACAAGCTTGTATGTAATCTAGCTCATCTATCTAGCAATCTTCACGACTTGGAACCACCAAAGAACAGGTTCAAGCATATTGACAAGGGTGCAAATGGTCTCCAGTCTCTAAGTCTCAGAATGGATGATATATGTGCACATTTTTGCTGTATGGTAGGTGACAGACTTATTCGGTGAACCGAATAAGTCTGGCGCCTAAAGAAAATGCGACGCCGCACTTTTGAAGCACTTGATTTTTTGAGGGAAAAATATGGGCAGTATGTGATTAATTGAATGACTAATCACGTTGTCGTTATTCGTATTGAACTGTTTTCCTACATCCGCTATATTGTGTGCCTTTATAGGTGGATGACTACCAAACACATCATCGTCTGCGTGAAGCTACTGGCAGAAAGCGGGCAGAGCAGTTGAACGAGCGTGTCTTACTTTGGAGTTTGGGTCAAACAACACTTATCATTCTTATTGGAATTGCTCAGGTGAGTAAAACTTATTTCTCTTTTTCGTTCTAAGCGTTCTCAACCTTCTCTACGTTGACTGAAACGCAAAGTTTTTCTAATCAAAGGCACCGTCCACCCAGATTCTCGACTTCCATGTTGCGATCGTTACGGGGTTTTTTATGTCCTTGATTCCGAATATGAAGCGAGAATCCACGAAAACCCCAACAATCCCCGTTTTAGAGAACCCGTTGGCCGTCTTTTCGGGACGGTGATCGGCTGGGCGCGCACGGGTGGACGGGCATGGATGGGGAGGGCGGTCCCGTCTAGGGGTCTTCGTGCATTTTTGTTATTTCGGAGCGATTTTCTCACTTCTGAAGCGACATTTTGCGCTGCGACTTGGGCATTGGCTTGATAGGGGGGCCCCAAGTCATATACCGCCAAAAGCTCAAGACCCTCAACTTAGGGTGGACGGTGCCTTTAATGCGTTAATTAGTTCGTCGTCATTGCATTCATTGTCCCTCTCCGTATTCACTGCAATTATCGTAAAACTTTACAATGTTACACAGCCTTTCTTTTGTAACTCCTGGAAAAATGATGTCATTGCGGTCCTTGGTTCCGTGACGTAACTTCGATTTTGTCTGCTTTTTTCGAAGTGTCAATCAAGTTCCAGAGCGCTTACAGTGACTTTTGTCTATAGTTCGCTTGTAGCTTAAACTTGAGAACCTTCCACTGCAGGGAGAAGTAATGGTTTGTGCTAAGCAAACAAAAATAAAACTGATTTTGCATCACTGGGCTTTATATTAAAGCGAAAACTCAGTTTATCATCGACTCATAGCAAAAGGATCTCATCAGTGACTACTACGACATTGCTTGTTGTAAACAACTTTTCATTAACCAAGCCTTTTGTATAGGTTCCTGAAAGAATATGACAAGTTGATCGTAGCTATGAATTTAGAGCGGCTGAAATTGAATGGCTGAAAGCTATGACTTTGAATTTGTTCAGACAGAAATGGTTCTTGTCCACTTTTAACCTGTTGATCGTAATATAGTTAGAAACTCGGCTCTCATACGGCTCTGTCAAGAGCATTTTTTAATTTATGATGTCACTCTGATATCGATAAAAATTCTACGCTGCATGTCTAGTTTGCTCTTTCAGACAGCATGTTTGTAGAAGTGCTCATTGATCTGTATATGCTGTGGTTTTTGATGGCTCGTCTATCTCTTGACCCTTGAGATAGTCGAACGCTTCAAAGAGCAACACTTTGCTAACCCTTCGGGACTCTGATGCTGCATCAGCAGGATCGCTGTTCAAACGCAAATGGTGTTTGTCCAATCTCTCTTGTTGATCGTAATACAGCTAGAAAAGCTACTGTACCCGGTAGTGCTCAAATTTATTGCCAATTCGATCTTTTCTTTATCTTAAGGTGCAGAAAAGAAATACGCACATTCTTCCGCTTAGTCAAAAAAATATATATATTTTATTATGTTGTCAGAAATTAACGCACTATACGCTGGCGCGGCAGGGCAGACCTAACATAGTGAATGTATTATATCTTGCGATTGGCGTTCGAACAATCTCAATAAAATCGATCCACTTAAAGTTGAAAGCATGGTCTCAAAAAAATTTGGACCCCCTGAGTCTACATCCAAAGATCCTGCGAAGTCGACTGGGCACGCGAACAATCCCTAGACATTTATGCGTACACTTGCTGCATTTTTTTCATGGCTGAAATGGAAAAATATAAATGGGTTAAGAATGCGAAAATAACGCTGTTTTCGGTTCCTTACGTTGTATGTTTATTGTCTTGTTTTCTGAGAGTAGAGGACAAGCTGCGCCTTTTTCGGTACTTGCAAAAATAGTACCGTTACAAGGATTTTTTCTGATAAAATGATTTTAACGACTTCCTTTCTCGAAATTTCTTGCAAGTAAAGCATGCCGTAGTAGTCGCATAGATTCCTATACAAAAATTTTTCAGATTTTTTGGGGCCAGTTAGCGACTTTAAAGGCAGCGGCTTGGCAGAATAGACCTACCTCAAATTTTGACACAGATGGATAGGAGGCCCTCCAAGTGAACCAAAACAGCAACTCCGCGCCGAAAATGTGAACTCTGCAAGCCAGGGAGGCGGCCCAAGCACCGCTCCCCTTCCTCCTTTCGCTCCCCTAACACCATGTTCGGACGAGTGTGTTATGCGCTAGAAAACGCGCCGTCACTCGTAGCTTCGTAGGGCAGAATTGTTCTAGCGCTCTCTACCTCTTTACTCTGCGTCTCTGACGGCAGAGAAAATACGGCTCACTCGTCCGCGTCCGTCTCAAGGGGGTTTTAAAAGACGGGGTTTCCATTTTCGCGCTAAAGGGAGTTCACATCGTGATTCAGGGGGCCGGAATAGCCCCAAATCTGCCAAAACCCCGAAGTTGAAAATCGGCCGAGCCGCTGCCTTTAATGCTTTGAGACCAAACTCGAAATCCAAATAAAGCGTCATTTTTGGCTTTGATCTCTATGAAGAGCAAACCAGAATCACTGTAATAGGATTTTTAGAGTTACTGCATTTTCTGGAGTTAAGCAGGAACTTTCCAACCCATTACCGTTCTACTTGGTATTCGACTTAGACCTGTGACAGCCTCGGTCTCTCCTATCAGCGTATACGCGTTTTTAACATGATAAACTGGATTTGAGCTGCCCTTTTCATATCATTCCACAACCAAGACTACAAAAATCCTTGTTTCGGATTTTTGGTCCTTGGGACTCCTCACCTAGGGACTTGGATTTTCGATACTATAGTGGCTCTTCCAAGTATAGAGACTCGATTCAATCTCTTTTTTTTTTTGCAAAATGATCGACTAGCACATCAATCTGTACAGTGGCGCAATCGCGCTTATTTTGGAGGTTTGCTTAGCTGCAGCAGATCACGTGTCTTCCTTATGTTCCGGTCATCTGATAACGTCTCACTAACGCGCTCTTTTACAGGTCATGCTGCTACGGTCATTCTTTTCGGAGAAGCGAACGAGGTACTAGGCAGCGATACGTAAACAAGTGTCTGCCATTTATTTACCTTTCACAGTAATCTGTGCATAAGTGCTATGTATTGTATGATGTCACAGTATTGTTTTCTCCTCTCGCTTGCATCAATAATGTTGTAGTTGTTTATCTGATTTATGAGGGTGATATGCCTCTGCTTATCGTTAGGATTCAAAGAGGCACTTCGTTGCGTACTCTCCTTGTTCATGGGATAATTTAAAAAGCATGAATAATTGTTATTTGCTATGGTTCATTTTTATAATCGTGATGACGACTTGACTGCGGTCTTTGCGCACACAGAAGGATAAAATTCCCATACAAACAGGCAACACCTCAACGCTAAGCTCGGTCTTTTCCAGTGCCTGAAACTATCATATGTAAGAAGAAAAACTACTCGAGAAGAGACAGAAACAAAAATTGGGAGTGCGTGCGTGTTGCGCGCGGTCGCGCCATCGTCACGGTTTTTTGAATGCTCTGTACTGTGTTCTTTGTTGAAAAAGCACATAAATTTCTAATTATTGATGATTTTTTCAAGCCTATGGCTTGTGGTTATAGCCAGAAACACTGTCTTTCGTTCATTGGCATTTTTTCGTAAACAAAAACAAGGCTGTGCCTGGGCCGTGTGCGTAAATAGGTCTGTTTGCGAAGGACTTTGGTGCTCTTATGACGTAGACCGAAAAACACTCCAAACTTGAGATGATAACGGGGGCAGATCGACAATCTCAGAAAAAGCGGTGCGAAGTATAGTTGCTGTCAGTATGGAGTTCATTGCTGTGCAACTGCACAATTTTTTGACTTCCTTGGAAGGAGCGCACTAGTGCACACTTTTTCTCTGGTTTGTATTTCTATTCACCCCACCACTACTACGTAGAAAATTGTACTCGTGAAGGCTTTTCTTTGTAAAAGCAAATCCAAAGTCAATTCTTTTTTAAATGTCCAAAATCTCGATTCTTTCGATGTCATCTTCCTTCTACCGTCCATCTGCAGACTAATTAGCCTATGTCGCGCATTCCTTGCTCTCCGATCTCAGTCTCCCCCCCCCGCAATCCCCAAATCTCAAACTGATCACGTGAATGCCACGTGGTCACGATCAAGTGTGAGAATGCGCCATCGGTAAGTAGCCGTAGGTTGTGTTGCGTCGTAAATGCGTACCAAGCTTAGGGCGGAGATCATGCCGCGTGACTTTTATGCGAGTGCATTTCACCTCATTTTTTCTTTCTTTCGTTGTTCCTCCTTCTCGTCCATTTCGCCTTTTGTTTTCGGGAGCTCCTGTCAAAGTTTTTCGTGGACAATTGCCTCTTTGTCTTTGGTTTTCGGTTTTTCGTAGTGATATCTGCTCTTTTCTTTCCAAGTCATCAATTTGTTACTTCATGCTATGTCGCTGCAATACTTGAAATTTGCTAGTACGATTATCTTTGCAGTCACGTTCTGTTCACTGTTCTGGAAACGTATAATGTTTGAGTTGATTTGCTGCTGAAGTCCAACATCTGCAAATCCATTTTTGGACTAGCTCGCTTTTCGATGCAATAGCAGCAGACCCGCCCTTGCAAACTTCAATCATTGTGAAAGCACATTTCAGTGCATTTCAAAGCTTTCATCTATCAGAAAGGTTTCAAAACTTTTACATTTTTGTAAATCGTATTCTTGCTACCTTGACAGCTTGGCTCATCATTATCTTTATTTGAAAAAGAAATCTTTGGCTTGTAGCTCAAATTTTCAATTAGAACGGTATTGAGGAAGATGCGAGAATCTTATTTGGGCTTTTTTTTTGAAAGTTGGATAGCCATAGGTTTAAAACGTCGAAAAACCAGCAGTCAGAGTAAGGGAGGTTTGAGTTGATTGAAGATTGATGATTATCGAAAAGGCCAGAAATTTGATGCTTCTTTGTTTTCTCTTTAAAAAGGCCGAAAACTCCGATCAGCACCAGCATATCTATCATTGTAAGAGTAGATGGACTACATACCAGTGACGTCCGATTTCTTTCCAACACTTGGACTTTTGACAGTCTTTTTTCTTTGACCAAGCTCGAGTGATTCTCTCTTTCAGCTTCTTTCTCTGACATTATTAGTAATAGTTAGTAGAAAGGCCCCAAGGTGCTATCGCAAAGCGTTGGATTCCTTTATTCATTAACACCAAGCAGATTCATGGCGATAGCAAGAAGTTATAAATTCTCAAAAGCACCTACCGAACATACGAAATCATTCAATGTACGGGGCCCCAAAAAATGTGCCTACTGTTTGATAGTTGATAACTCTCTTGTAATGAAGTCTTTCGTGAATTTAGGTACCGTTTTGTAGAGCTAGCTTCAGCTTAGATTTACAGTATAAGGCGAATCAAGGATTCATCTTCATTACTTCAGGAGCACGGTAGGAACTCGCAGCATGTAGGGCCACTGTGAAAAAGGTCGTTTGGAAAAAAATTTCCAAAAAAATTGACAGATGTTCAACAAGGTTTTCATGCATGGTGATTTCACTGCACAAATTTTTGCGCTTTTGTAGTTCTTTAAATGATTAGTCAGGTTTTTGACAAGTAGCAGAAACTGGTTGTTGTGTTTTTTATCTGGCATAACTAGAAATGCGTTACGGTGAAATGCGAGTTTCATGGTCTGAAATTAGCGACTTTGATCAACTTAGCGTAGGAGCTTTCAGCTTTTTTGGTTGCATTTAGGGGTGAAATATGACCCTTATTTACTCAAAACCCTTCCCTTTCTACCGTAATCCTACAGTAATGAAAAGCATGAGTGATTCGCTCTATACTGTGAATCTATGTTTAAGCCACGTCTACAAATCGGTACCTAAAGCTTCTCGAAAGACTTCATTACAAGAGAGTTATTAACAATCCAACAGTAGGGATCTTTTTGGGACACCCTGTATAGGATGCTGAGTCCTCTGCAGTTGTGTTTATAGTTTATGTATCCATCTGCTCTGTGGAGGTTTAGCTATGAACAAGTCAACACTTTTGCTTCACGTGCTGCTGTCTGTGTATTTGCGCACACTTCATTTGTCGGCTGCCGGTTCAGCTTGATTGATCGCAAATGCTGCCAATCAAGCTTACCATATCTTCGATCACGAGGTCGTCACATTTTTCGTCGTTTTGTTTTCTTCTTTGCAAGCACGTGTCACTTATGGATTTTCATTTCCGCTCCAAGTTTGAAACGCACTTACAAACGCACTACTAGACAAATTATCTGAATTGAAGGCATTCCTGAGTTCTGATCTTTCAGGACCTCGGCGCCACGTGGTAAGTAATTAACTTTGAAAAAAATTGTATTAGTGCGCAGATTCTTCGAATTGATCAAAACTAGATTCTTAGTAAGTCCTTTTAATTTTCATATAAGCCCTCTTATTTATTACAGTGGACTGAAAAGTGGAATTGATCTAAGGTTGTGTTTATCAGATTTTTTTGCGCATTCTAATCACGGACAAGTTCCATGTAGCATCGAATATCTGGAAAGTTACTGATATATAGTTCTTTAACAAAATCTTTACCGAAGTTTTTTTACACTACCTTCTTATTAAATGCATGACTGCAGCTGCCAAATGTTCGTGCTAGGAACGAAGCTTTCTAAGGCTGGGAATCATTGCAATTGCAAAATATCGCATGCAATAACTACGACATAAAATTCTAGCAAACTGCATGTTAGAGCAGCCGGTGCCATTAATTGCAGAAGATGGTGCATCGCACTAGATGACTGGATTGAAGGCAGCTCTATTGCTGCCTTTTCGCATAAGGGTGATGTAAGTTTCCGCTAGATTAAGGCCCTTGCGTTCTGGCTGCAAGATGTGCTATAGAGCTCTCTTTCTACGTAGAATATCCACGATATCTTGCATGTACACCACGGTGCTCTTCATGTTTTGCTCAACTTTTCTATCTTCTTGTTTATACGAATATTTAGCGACAAAATTTGCATAGTATGCCATATACTTTCCGACAATATCAGCATATCATGTGATGACATGTCTGGCGTTGGATATGTTGTCTGAAGAATTTCCACTGTATAAAGGACACTAGCGCCTCGAAGTTTTGCTAGCGAAAATAATTGATCTCCACTGAGTTTATCGCGGGGAAGAAATATTTTTGTTGTGTGCTCATTTCATCTGGGAACGTTTTTGAAATGCGCAGCAGTGATAGTGTTAGTGGATTTCATATGGATTTCATAGTTTTTTTTAGTTTTTAGCTATTATGCTTGGATGAGACTTGCCCTTTATTTCTGCACATTATGTATACGGCGAAATCACGGGTGTCAAGGAGTGAAGCAAAAGGGCATCTAATTCTTTTCATGTTTTCTGTGAACGTTTTCGTATAAATGCGTACACTTATACACTGGACTAGTTTCTGTTGCACTTTGTTACTCACTCTGGCATTTTTCTCGGCATATGTCATTCGAGACAGCGTCTGACTCATTTATTCCTTGCTTTGCTGTCATTTCTCGTTCGTTCCCCTTCCATCTTGCATCCCTCGTAGATTATGGGGTGAAATAGCTTTGAAGGAGCGCATTTGCGTTATCTACTTGCAATTTTTTCTCGTTAGCTACTATCAGGCCACCATGCGGTTTTCGCCTGAAGTTGCATTATCAGCGATCGTGACGCGTGACTAGCTGAAACATTCGTGAATGTGATTACTTCCTTTTTATGGTTGCTTTAGTAGATAAAATAATCAATGGTTCATGTTTGCTTGCGCAGCACTTTTTATACAGACTCGGTCTATTCTGCTGTCGCAGTTGTTGGACGCTTCGCGTGTTGCACAGTTGGACTCTTGTCTGCTTGGAAATCTTTCCTATGAGCTCATAAAGGTAAATCTATCAACCCTCCAAATTCCGTAGTGTTATGTTTTAATTTTCTTTATTGATTTACTAAAGAAAGAGCGATATAAATAACAGCTTCACTAGAAATTTTACTAACATAAGTACCCTAAAGTCTGATAAGTCCGCTTTTTTGACAAGGAAAATCGATGAAAATACACTCTCGCACTGCCAAGAATCTTGCAGATAAGTCCTCCCATCACAAACTCCGCCTACAGGAAAGTTCGGACTATCTGACAGATTTCAGGGTAGTTATAATGGGAAGAAAGCGGACTTATCTGAAGGACCTTATTCGAGTCAAAAAAGCGGACTTATCTGACGGCGGACTGTAGACGACTTATCTGATAGGAGGACTTATCTGTGAGATTTTAGGGTAGACGTCAGCCATTAATGAAGATCGCATCATTTCAGCTAAGCCACTATAGCCACGGTAAAAATCAGTATTAAGAATTTTATCGAGTTTCAAATTGCTAAAATTATAGAAAATTCCAAAGGCAGTTTCATATTCCACTCTAATCTCGCTTATATTTATGTTGTACGAATACATTGTAACATGCCAAAATCTGAAGCAAGCCGAAAAGCTAGTCATTTCTAATCATAGAAACATTTGTTGAGTGTAAAAGATTGCGTCAGAAAATGAGAAAATGATGTGTGCATCATTGTCAGCTTGGTGCACTGCAAATAAACGGAAGTTGACCTTGAAGAGTTTAAAACATCCACATTTGGACTTTGCGTTAAGTGGCTTTCTGCATTTTCCTTTTCTCCAACCAGACCAGATTTGATTGAATAGCTCGCTTTCTCCTTTGAAGCCGTTTGGTTCACTTTTCTTCTACTGTCATGCATGACGTGGTTATGTGATCGATGATTCCAAATTTTTTGGATGTTCGCGATTTATAGTTATTGAAATTGCCATAATTTTTTGTTTTACGTTGAATGCTCAGCTCTAGAGACATTTTCTAACTGAAAATGGAACTTTCCTATTCTACGCTTCAGTCAGCTGCAATATAGTTGCGAAATAGTGTCTGTACAAGCAGACCATTCTATATATAGGCATTCTTGTTCAAAATGCATGGTATATATGTAGCAACAGAGCCGCTAGTCTATGGTTTTGTTGTTTGTGATTCACAAGATGTACAGTGAGAGACCGTGAGATTGTGATTTTTATCGCCTTGTGAGGGTTTTCGTTTTTTTTTTCGGACTGTGTAATCGTACTTCTCATTTTCGTACTTCTGATTCGCTGACACTCTTTCTTTCGAAGAGTTATTGACCAAATGCCATCGAATCTCATTTCCAGAGTTGTGATTCACTTCAAGGTTTTTGCAAAAGAATTCTTATTACTTCTCAGTTCATTTATTAATTCCTTTAATTAATTACCAAGGTTTTCCAATCCTTCGTTCCCATTTTGCATGCAGCGGATTGCATTATCGACCGCCTCTTGCGTCTGTTTGTGTTTTGAGTCACGCGAAATCGAAAACTCGAGCAGTTTTATCATAAACGACCATTGCAGTCTGCGTTATGACAAATCATGAAAAGTCAAAAAGCGAAATAAGCCGAGAGTTCGAATTTGTACTAAAAGCAGCAATAGCATCGAATTACTCGCACGGCGATGGCATCTCGAGGTTAGTTTTTTATTTTCCTTTTGTTCTGTTTTTCTTGCTTTGTGTAGCATATCTGCTGCGATTTGTACTGTCTATACTTTTCTTGCTAGTCGCTCTGCGACCTGCATTTTTTCTTATCACCGAATGTCGCAACCATTCATGTCACATCTAATCGCATTATAATTCAGCGAAATCACACAAAATATCTGTAATGTGGTTGAGGCAATGTTCATACATGGATTGAGAGATCCATTTTTCGTTAAGGGCTCGAGATATGCAAAATATCCGGAACCGGTAAGCATAAATTCTCAAGTCTTTCTGGTGAAAAGTTTTTTTTATTCAGAACTTCTGGCCTTTTGTCTCAAAGTACACTCACAAAAGTATCACCACCGAAATCAAGTCCTTGAATCAGATACGTTCAGAAATTGGCCGAGGAAGAGTGAGTCAATCCTTCTTTATCACTTTTTTCCTCAACCGTTCCTTGACAGGCATGGATTCGGATAGTTCTGAATCAGAATACGTTGGAGCATTATCTTCAATTGCTTCTTCGCGAAACAAAAGCCTTAAAGTGAGCTAGTGAAGTTTCTTCGAAGTTGCGCTCCTATCAGTTCACTGCTATGATAAACTGTCAAGAAATTCTCTGAATTTGTCCTTTCCAGTCAATTCTATGGTGAGAATGCATTCCTGAGAGACTCAGAAGTTATGGACAAAGTGGTTGAACTATCTAAAGGCCTTGGGTCGCTCCCTATCAAGGCACCTGTCAACAGTTCATTATTGAACACTTGGACGCCATCGCCACTGATATTGGCCGGCTTGGTCAATGGAAGAGCGCTGAAAGGTAGCGAAGAACATTTTTTTCTTGTGGGTTTTCCAGTTTACTAATTTTTTTTATGTTCTAGTAGGGGTTCTTACGCCGAGACAACGATCAGCATCGCTTCGTGAGCCAACTGAGATAGGATTACCAGCTCTCGATTTTCTTGAGGACAGGACTCCTATAAAAGTGAGCCGCTCTGAGAGACGAATGGAACGAAGTAAGAGTGTTGATCTTTGCGAGCTTTGCATACAGATTTGTATAAATATATTTTTCAGAAGTGGTCTTGAGTGATGATGATGCATCATCAGTATACTCACATCCGTCTATGTTAGATAGATCGGAAATTCCTGAACGAGTTGTTTTTACATCGACACCAATTGGTGAAAGTTTTGGAGAAGGTCCTCCTCAGAATGTTGCGGTGAGTGTTCTCTTTTTGTTTTGTGTTTACTGGGCTTTTTAGTCGTTTTCCGCCATATTATACCGATTTTCAAACAAAACAAAAATAATTTGCGAAATTTCCGCTCCACCAATCTTTCTCTTTATTCGACTCAGTTCGTAGAATTTGTAAGAAATTCTTGCTAGATGTTAGGAGGAATGATTCACGGGCATTTGCCTGTAGAAAGTGGAAGAAAATTTTGCTAGATGTTTGGGGAATTGATTCACGACTGCATCATTTTGTTATAGCCACTGATTGTGTCTCGTCGAACTCGACGGCCCCGCAAATCTTCTCGAAGTAGTAGCGAATCTAATTCAAGAGAGTCGCGTTCGCAAAGCGAATCAGTAGGTTTTCTGCTTTTTGAGATTGATTTTATGATTTTGTAGTCCGATTTGAGAGTAATATGGAAGTTTTTTCTTTGATGGCAACCTCCGATAGCAATATTTTTTGTCTAGGCAAGCACTATGCATGATGGAGCAGTTGAGCTGGGTACGTCTGCCGGCTCTTATACTCGTACCAAGCAGTCGGAGACGTTAGACAGCGGAATAGAATCAGAGCATAGGTGAGCCTCTTGAACTTTCTCTCAATCGAAAGGTAGGTCTTTCATTTCAAGCTCATCTATATATTCTTAGGGAAAACGTTCTTGATAGTGTGAGCACAGTTTCTGATGGCAAGGAAAATGAGCCAGTCCACGATGAGCCTATTAATACCGATAGTATAGAAAAAGCCGTGGATGCGAAAGGTTTTTTTATCATGTCATGTATCCAATAATTTCTTTTCAAATGTTCATTTTAGAAGAGCTGGAGTCTGCGGCCCCACCTGAAGTTGAACATATCATCACACTACCTGAACGTCCTCGGTACTTCAACGTCAAGGAGATGAGCCCGGAACCGGAAATAGAAACACAGCTACCAGAAGCAATTCGTGAAGTGCTGGATCAGAGTCATGACGACATCTTCAGCAATGGCGAACATGACCAGGAACAGGATGTAGATGTGCTGATCCGTGCTAGAGATTTGGAATATCGGGTAAGAATTTGATGTTGAACTTTTTTATTCTTGAAAAAAAAACATTTTTTATAGGCGGATCCAAATATAGGAACATCTTTACATGATGAGTTATTCCATGCAGATGTCGCTCCTAGTAGTAATAGCTTGTTGAATAGAAGCTGGAAAAAGCCGAAGACAAGCTTGGTTAGTTCAAGCGAATTTTTCTTTCTTTTTTTTTGCTTTGTCCCTCTTTCCAAGTCCTGTCATGCTTATATGTGATTGTAAGCAAGCGTATATGTTTCCAGCCCGATTTGGATCGATGTGGAAGCTCAATGCTGTCCTCGTCTTCCTCTCCCGAATTTAGTCCCTATATTGTCAGCTTTGACCAAGCCTTAAGGACTGCTTTAGTCGCTAACGGATCGAACGAAAAGGTTTGTTGCATCGTTGAGAAGTGTCGCTTATCTTTTTTGCTTTGTCCATCCTCCGCTGTCTGCTTTCCTTCAGATTTTGTCATTTAATTGTTTTTTTTTTCCAGCTTGATGAAGTTTTTGATGAGTCTCAAGGCATGCTTGAAAATACTGACACTGAAGAAGATGAAGCGGAAGTGAGTTTGCGGAAATTAGTGAAGATCTCCTTGGTCCTTGGAATAAGTGATTTTTTTTCTAGAGTTCTCGAAAAGCGTCCGAAGCGGCCGAACACGTCACCTCAATGATAATCACCATTCCTCGTGAACTTGGCCTTGATGCTCAAGATTTTCGGTGTCCAATGTGTCGAAAGTCTATTGGAGCCGTGTTTTCCAAATATGGGTATGTTATCTATGTAAATATAGCACCGCAGCTAGCTCCAGTGTATATTTAGTTGCAAGGTTTACGAAATCTGTTTTTCTAGTTAAAACACTTTTATTATTCAGTGTCTGTGGTATCGATGGTCTATATTATTGTGCTGATTGTATGCGCCCCGGTGGTGAGATGCCCATTCCATCACGTGTACTTCGAAGCTGGGATTGGAAGCCACGTCCGGTGTCTGATCGAGGTCGTGCATTTATTGAAGCAAATCAGGTGAGCACATTTGCACAAACAGTCACTCATCCAGAAATTTGTGTAATTGCACCACTTTTGCAATCTGCAGAAGTGGAGTAAGCGGTTGTGGGCATAACCACTATCAAGAGCAGTATCGATAAACGTTAACTACTTGATTGCCACTGCAAATTGTAGAAACTGTGCAATTACACCAAGCGATTGTTGAAATGAGAACGACGAGTATGTGCCATACAAAGTTTGCAGTGGCGGTACCACGGTTCTCGTTCAGGGGCGGGAACAAATCTGTCATTCTAGAGGGCGACAGTTTTTTCTCGTTTTTGGTGGGGGAGGGGGTCCCCTCCCCTTTCGGTCCGTGAAAGATTGTGATTGTCCCCGATCCGATTGAGGTACCTCCATAACTGCTTTTTTTTTTTCAGGATACCCCTGTTATACGCATCGATCAGCACAATCCTACACTCTACGATCATGTGCCCGTTTTGAGGACAATGAAGGTTAATTTCAGGCTTTCCCATTAGCGTAGGCGGATAGCTTTGCCGTGGTCGCAGTCACGTACTTTGCCTGCGTCATAATACGACTAGACTTTGCTGAACTTAACTGTGCTTCTCATTCTCCCGTAATTTTGCAGATGCTCCGAGAACAGCTTCAAATTGCGTCGATGTATCTTTTCAACTGTCGTGAATCCATAGCTGACGACTTTCGCAGAAGAATATGGCCACGAGAACATCTCTACAATGACATCCACGCTTATTCCATTAGCGTAAGTGCTTTGATGCATCGTTGTTGTTTTCCAGTTTATTTTCCCAGTTTTCAGGATCTGCTTCTCCTTCATAATGGACAGCTGGAGAAGCAAGTGCGTGGATTCTTGAAGCATGCCGTGGATCATGTCATGCATTGCTCGTTGTGTCGACAGAAAGGATTCATCTGTGAGATATGCGAGGCTAACGAAGTGATCTATCCGTTTGAAACCGAGAGAACGTATAGGGTGAATCTTGATTTTCCATAAATTATTCCTTGGTTTTGTGTGGTTATGAAAGGTCAATCCGGGATGACCCTTAACTTCGAACCGTTTTTTTTTTCGAGCAAAGACTCAAAAATTGCTTTTTCTGCTTGGGCAAGCGCGTTGATTAACGTCAAGAATCACTATTACCGATGATTTTGCTCTCGATGCTCTAAAATTATTAGCTTGTATAATTTTCATTTTTTGCAGAGCTATTATGCAAAATCCTTTTTTTTGCAGCAGACGTTTGCGAAGCTTCTTTGTCTGATTTCGTTATCTTGGTGACAGGCACTCGTTAAGAGATAAGATTTATCAGCACACAAAAAAGTGCTAAAGTGCAAAGAGATGTATTTTCGATTGCAAAAGATCCAGTGTAGTGAGGTGGACATATCAAGCAACAAAGCACAATTTTCTTCCTTTTGTATTGAGAAAGATGATTGAAAATGAGGGAAGTGAATAAATTTGAAACAAAGAAAAACAATCTATTTGTTGATTTCTGTTTTGTTCCATTTTGAAATGAAGGTAAGATAATAAAAGATATGATAGAATCTTTCGTGAGCTAGGAATGGGTCATTGGTAGTTTATATGTGGATGCTCGTTTCCAATTTGACTAGACATTGGAAATTTCTATCAATTTTTTGTTTTAGTGTCCTCGATGCTGTTCTGTATTCCATTCCGAGTGCGCCAGTCAGATGGAAGACTGTCCGAAATGCGTTCGACGAGCGAAGTACGAGATTCGTCAAGAAGCTAGCGATCTTCCTCTCGGTTAGAGGCCATTTCCTTTTTTGAATTTTTTTATGTCTTCTGTTGGCTTATAGTTGTTTTTTTTCTCCGGCAAAATCTTGTTTTTGCTCATAATATGTATGCTTGTTAATAATCTACTTACTATCAATCACTGGAAGTAACTTTTGTATTTAGTGCTAACCCAATACTCTTATTGTTTGCTACAGTAGGAATGTTGCTAATATTTCCTGAAAGTGCCATACATTTCTTTGGCTCCAAAGGGGCCTAAATGCACTTTTGAAGATTTCCTTTCTATGAAAGCTTAGGTTTTGTTGTTTTCATGGCGGGTCAGCTCGCCTCATCCTGCGATTCATCGCGATGTTTCCTCCTCTAACTTCTCAAAATTTGTACAGTGTAATTACTAGCAAAAATGGTGTATAGAATGGTGATCATAAGAATACGTGTGGAGTTTTCATTGGAATCTGTTGATGAAAGGTTGAGCTTTGTAGATTCTTCTCGTTTTCTTAATATGTGTGTATATAGATTAGATGAAAAAATAAAGAGTTGTATAGAGTGTTTTGCGTTGTGAATCATTGCAAATGCTCAGTGCGCTACCACGTGAGTCAGCAACTTGTCGTTCTTGTGACCCCAGATCTTGTGCTTCAAGGTTCCACCATACTTCAGGCAAATCTACCTACGGGGCTTTTACGTGGAAAGTACTTTTGGGGCCCTAACTAAGGCACTGCCCAGGCAGCTCATGTAGTGCTCTAATGGCTGAGATATTCCCCTCGAAACTGACCCCCGCGAACGTATTCGCATGGATTCGTGGCAGTTTCGCGCCAGGATCCACGCTTTGCGCATGAATCCATGCGAAACACGGTCGCCGGGTCCAGTTTCGAGGGGAATATCTCAGCCGTTAGGGCACTAAATGAGCTGCCGGTTGGGCAGTGGCTTAGTTAGGGCCATAAAAGTACTTTTCACGTAAAATCCCCATGTTCAGACTTGCCTGGACGCTGCCTTTAAGTCGCCATGCGATTGGCAATTTGCCAGGATCTCCAGAACCAGTACTGGCAGACCGCGAATAGCTAGATTATAACTTTCGCAATTTGATATTGTGCCTTTTTATGATACGTTTAGCATGCGCTTACAGTGGCTTATGATTAGTTCGAGTGGTGCCCAATCGCGTCGCGACTGTAATCGCGTGAAGTAAGCTTAGCGCTAGCGAGTTTGTGATTTCTGCTATGAAATGCTGACAAGGGAGGTCCGATCAGTCGGGCCTTTCCGAATGAGTCATAAACCATTTTGAAGGGCTTTATACGCTGAATCCGAATCCGTCTTTCTTATATGCCGAGCGCCTCCGGATCCCGAGTTATGGACGTGTTTGAGTTGGAAAATTGAATGCGTAATTGGAACAAAATTTGGCAAAATTGCTCAAATGGTGCACTTTTAGATTATCAAAGCACTCCGTTTGAAGAACACCTGTCCAAAACACTCATACTACGTACTGCTCTATTTGAGCGCTGAAAAATCCGTAACGGTTGATTTTACTTGAATTCGCGTTCATTTTTCTCTCCAAAAAACACTCATGACTCAGCAATCAGAGGCGCTCGGCAGGCAAATCAGATCTGGTATCAGCGTTTAAAGCTCTTCAAAATGGTATATGACTCATTTGGAAAGGTCACTTCGACTGTTCGGACCTCCCTTGTGAGAATAAATCGTTCATATTGATTTATGATAGGTACGAGGGCCGAATTTTAGTGCTGAATAATACAGGGTGTCCCAAAAAAATGTGAAGCTGTTCGATCGTCAATAACTCCCTTGTCATGAAATCTTTCGAGAAGCTTGAGGCACCATTCTGTAGTGCGAGGTTAGACTTAGACTTACAGTATGAAGCAAATCATCAATCACTCTTCATTACTACAGGATTACGGTATGAACTTTCAGCATACAGCGCCACTGTGGAAATAGGCTTTTGATGGGAAAAATTCCAGAAAATCTGTTATTTTGTGTAACGAGATTTTCGTTTATCTCAGTACACAACTTTCCACCAGCTTTTTTGATGGTGTAATCGCCCTTCTGATGAACCAAAAAACAGATTTTACCCTAAACCTGAAATAACTCATAAAAAAAAAGCATTACAATGGCGTGCAAACGTCATATTTAGAACAGCGACATCGACTAGTCCAGCACAAAAGTTTTTTTTTTGGCTTTTCTTCTGAGGCAAAAATCGCTTTTAATTTCCAAAAACTCTTCGCAAAGATCCTACCGTAATCTTACAGTAATGAAGATCGATTGATGATTCGCTCCATAATATAAGTTCAAGTTGAACCTCTACAGAATGGTGCCTCAAGCTTTTTGTTAGCTTCATGACAAGTTATCTAAGATCTGACAGTGTTCACATTTCTTTGGGACACCCTGTATACTTCCGTTACCGAAGGCCATGGAGGTCTTTCTGTTGGCTTATCCTCGCTGAGGTGAGCTATATTTTCAAAATAAATGGTTCTTCCAACCCAGGCTTTCCTACATTTTTTGTATAGCCGGATGTTTCCGCATTTGGCACCTTAAAGGCAGTGTCCGGGCAAAAACTCGATTTTTAGAAAATCCACTTTCCGGGGGTTATCCGCAACGCGAATTGATGCAGGAACGACTTAGACACCATCCGAAAACACATTAGAAGGCGCGAAAACGGCGAAAACATGCGTTTTCCAAAGCCTTACAAATTGAAATTTGACGATCCCGCCAGGGCAGAGTCGCTGCGGGACCCTACATTTTAACTGTTGCGGCATGCGTACTCTGCCGCATAGCAGGAATTCGGACAGCTCGGAGGACCCCGCCCAAAAGCGTAAGTTTCCCCACTTTCCGGTCGTTTTTCTTGCTTTAGGTCGAGCGTTATGACGTCGCACTTGCGCGATGTTGTGTCTGAAGGGGCCACTCTCGCATAGCACTGAAATCCCAAAACCCCCATCTTGCCCGGACACTGCCTTTAATGTACTTTCCGTCCATCGTGTTTTTCTTGATCACGCTGTTTTTTGCGTAGTCATTGTTTGGCAGTATGGTCTGAAAACATTCATATCAAAACTCTGAGAGAATTGCAAATTTGCCACCTATCACCACACTTTAGTTAATCTTACCGAGCTTTTCACATCTGGTACCATTTTTCTTCCAAGCTCGTTACTCACTATTGGATTGTTTCATAGCTAAATCGGTGACATGTCTACCTCAAACGAAAGCAACCTCAAAACACACGACTTCCGGTTTTTTCAGACACTTAAAGATTATCATGGGCTGACCTCAAATTCTGGATTTCCCTCTGCCAGTGAATTGCTGAAGGTCATTTTCGAGAGCCGTGGTTCGCGACAGCTCCATTTGGATAGCTACTACTTGCGAAGATTTCAGGAAGCTTCGCGAATAGAGATGCCTGATAAAGTCTAGCAGCGTATGAAGATGACTGTTATCAAAGGAAATATTTACAAAAATTCAAGGTTGTTTTGTCCCTGTGGAAATGTTCGGGGATAAGAACACACTTATGAATATAGAAGTCTTTGTATAACAATAGCCATTCTACTCCGCGGTTCTAATCGTACTGAAAACTGTAAACCTACAGCAATGGATAAACAGCTTCCGAGTTTGAGTCGAGCCAAGGGCACCCCTGAATCTTGTCTCTATCAATAATTATGCCCCCATATTCGTCAGTGCTTCATTGTTTTCCCCGAAGCCCCAGAATAGCTCCTTTCGTGCGGTATAAGCATTAATCTCCGCTTCAGTGACACCTTGCGTGTCAGGTCAGGTGGCTAGATAGAATTACTGACTCGCAATACATCTGCACTCAGTCAACACTAAATCATATGATGCCTATAATTGACTTTGATGACTTTGGAACAGTTTGCAGATGTGGTCTGAACAAAGTACCTAGAAAAGCTTGATAAAAGTGATAAGTTCTATGAAAGCCAGTAAACCTTGTGAACTTCGCAAAATGATTTCCGAATGTGTGCTCAGTAAATCACTCTCTTCTAAATGGCACACTCTGATTCTAGAGTACTCAAAATGCTTGCAAAGATAGCAGAAGGTCGACTACTCCCTCAACCTCATTCTTCTATAATGTTCACTGCAGAAATCATTGATATCTTCTTGATAACGATTGCCAGCATGGCCGTCGCTTAGCATTCGAATTGATAAGGAATAAGTGGCTGAAGATAAAAGATAGTTGAAGAAGGCGGAAGCTGTGCGACGAGATAGGATTGATGCTTTCAAATTTTTTCCGAGCTGAATCTGTTTGACAAACCACTTGAACAAAAACGCATGTTCACACTTTCTGAAAGCAAGTGATAGGTTTTATAAGCTTTGAGCCCCTAGCCCCTTTGCAGTAAATTACAACATTAAAAAGCAAAATATGTAGCTCAGAACTCTATGAATCATTCCTCACCTGAATTTCAGTAGCTTTTGATACTGAAATGATTGAAGCTGTTGATTTTTTTACTTGCGGTGAGTTGTAGCGCTATCAAAAAGTGAGATGTACTACTCAGACAACTAACCGGAACTTCCGTAGAACATTTGGGGTTCCACCGGATCACCTGCGGAAGTTCCGTAAACGTGTTGCGGAAGTTCCCAAATGAGGTGCACCTACTATACTCTGCACTACGGCTGACAGGTTCGATAATGCACTCTAGTTGTTGGCGAGGGAACATCACAAGACAACACAATCAAAACCCTGCGGAAGTATCGGCATGTCAAAGTGCTGCGGAACCGCTGACATTTTTCGCAAGTTCCGCAGCGCTTTGTAAAAGGTCCTTCGGAAGTTCCCATTTTCAACGTTACCACATTTGCAAAGTAAACAAAATCCTGCGGAACCACTGCGAAGTTTGCGTGTTCTGCGGAAGTTCCGGTGAATTGTCAGAGGGTTGAGACAGTAATGTTTTTTCACTTTCCAAAGTAACCCTTCCGCCTATCGAGGTAGAAGAATGATAGACAGTTACTTTAATCTGTGTCAGACGCAGCTTTTCCATCTCTTTCCAACAGTTATGTAAAGCTGATTAACTTCCCTGACTGAAAAGACATTCGATAAGACCTGCTGGTAGAAATGGGTAAAGACTAGGGAAACTTATCAAACCAATCAAATAGCCATGAACATTGGCTCAGTTATGCTTACAAAGTAAGGTTGCCCAAGTTAGAATATTCGGTAAGTAATGTCTGATCTGTGTCGCAAGTTTTTCGTGCTCGAATGTGTTGGAAATATGCCAATAATGGAGTTACAGAAAACTCACAGGCGCATCAGGTAAGTAAGGATTGTCTAGCTATATGGCTGTAATTCAAATCTACCCATAAGTAATATTTCTATTACCGCGCATGAGTTCTGTAATAATCTCAAAATCTGTAAATAATGAGGGAACTGAATTAGCTTTGAAGAACTTGCGAAGAGTCTGGAAAATACCCCAATTCTTCTCACTGCCGTCTAATGCATAGCCCTTTCTTCCCTGTAAAAAGTTAGTACTACTTACTTGTGGTGATTTATTTCAAATAGGATAAAGCCTGTAACTTCAGGCTTCATTATAGCTCTGAAAAGGAAAACAGCTCATT